GGTCCACTACAAATATATTAAAGTCTTGTAGGGTTAACCAAAAATTGACCTGCGGTATTTAAGGAAAGATAGATGTCACAGTGGCCTGGTATAGGGTGTTCCCAACCATATTCCTCACAATTTGGATACCCTGGTATCAAATAATCATACTCTATTTTCCCTCTTTAAAAATACCGCAAGATCCTAGCAGAAACCGAAAGTAAGCAGTTAGACCCTCCCAGAAAGTAGTTGCACAGCTCCGTGATGGGCATTGTTGGTGGCCAACGAGAGTGGTGTCCCCTGTCGAACACCACCACAATGCTTTTTCTCCTGTGCTACGCGCGATTCCACTGCACTACCCGTTGGCTATCGAACTTCTAGCGGACTGTTGCCATCAACCTCTTCATGCCCCACTAGTATCTTAACTGCTCTAACATCCTCACACCTCGAAACCCACAAGAACGGTGTCTGCCCACAACAGCGGTCTCTGTCCACTGTGATTCAGGATGTTGGGGTTGGTATCGGCAAGAACGAGCTGGAGCCCCACTGCGCCCTTGCGCCCCGTATCTGCAGCCCAGAAAAGTGGTGTTTTGCCATGCTGGTCTAGTATATTCTGGTTGACATCCTTCCGTGCCAGCAGGACCTTTACTACTCCACCATGTCCCCTGCCCACCGACCCCGAGACCAGTGTTCTGCCGTCAATGTCTTGTAGATCTGGGTTGACCTCACCCGAAGCCAACAGGAACCTGACTAATTAATCTATCCTATGATAGGCAGCCCAAGCCGCAACAACCCTAAAAGTAGCAGTCGGGACCATCACCAAAAACAGCAGCAGAATTCAGAGAGACCTTTCCTTCCTGAAGTAGGCGCAGGATGGGATGTAGAGGCGCAACAGTGCACTGTTCGATTAGGTACCTAGGGGAACTAGACGGTATTGAGTCGGAGCAAAGTGGTGGTAGTAGGTGCACTACACAAGAGAACTGGTGATAGCAATTCGTATAGTATACAAACCTGTATCTGGGATGGTGTAAGTGAACAGTACTCGCGAGAAAGGTGATGGGAAGGAGGAGGGTGTTATGGTGGTGAAGGACAGGCAAAGGTGTTGTTGACAGTGATTTGTGGGACTCCCAATCCCGATCAGTAAGCCCTTAGCCTAATTGAGATATTCAATTAAACTGCATCCTCTATGCGACCATCTTCTTGAGCGATCATTGACAATCACTCGCGGGCTAGTGGAGGTGGGTCAGATATATTACTGGAAATCAGGGTCGCTGTCACGAACCTGACTAGAGGAGCGCCAGTCGGCCCTGACGGGGTGAGAATTGGGCTTTCACATGACCCATAGTTGTGAGTCCCCTCAACAGCGCCTTTCATCGTCATGCTTACCCCACACTCGGCGAGGCCCTTTAGCATCGGCTCGACCTCAAGGATGCGTAGCTCGCCCGCGGAGGATGCCCTGGCTTCTGCGGCGTAGGACGCCTCGAATGGTGGCAGTATAGAAATAAACAATCTAGGGCGGTTTCTGTTTGGGTGCTGGACTGGTTGCAGAAGCAGAACCAATGCTCTGCGAAACCCTGCACTATTCCATGAGCTGCCCGAGAGACAGCAGTGGCTTTACCTCTGGGGGGCATAGTGATAAGTTAGTGGGTGCTCTGCACGAGGAGACGGGTGAGAGCAATTGGTACGACATACAGATGGTAGGGGTAATGTGAAGGTGATGGTAATGATGGGAAAGGAAAAGGGAAGGTGTTGACAACCATTCCTAGGGTCCCCATTCTCCATCGGTAGGCATAAGGCTAACCGAGACATCGGACTACTGATACCTGTACTGGTGGTGCATAACGATCATATCCTAAGTTACGTCAGCACGTGTGCCTTCGCACACCATCGATACAATACTAAGAGCTAAAAAATAAATACCAAAAAGTAGTAAAATAAAATATAATGGCGGGTTAGTATAGCAGAGAAGAATGAGGACTAGAACCACCAATTTCGGAAGCCATTAGCTAGAAGAATTGGTGGTTTATCACCTCTATTTCCCAATGCAAATGATAAATCGTCCGTTGAGCTGTTGTTTTTCATTGGTCTGCGGCACTGAAATTGTGAGTGCTGTCAACTTCGACGGTAGCTTAGCCTCCTTCAAAATGGCGGGAACCTTGGCGTAAATATATAGGGACTGGATGTTCTAAGACGTGGACATGTTGACATGTATCATAGATGATCAGATTAGTTCTGGATATTGCGGTTGCACGCATTTACGTAACCACTCCATAACTCATATCCCAGTAATTTACTCTGTTAAGGAGTGACATGCCTTCCACCACAACACCTGATGCATAAACATCACTTAACCGCGAACATCATGGCACCCAAGATTTTTCACCTCCGGATCTTCCACAAATCATTGGCCGCGATACAAGGGATTAGACACTTCCTCCGTCCGCCGACCTACACCAACCGGAGGTTTAACAGTACGAAATATGGGCAATGGACTAGAGCCCGCGGGGGACAGTGAGGGGGACAGAATGTCAGAGATGAAAATAGTAGGCTATCTTTTTCACTACCTCTACTCTAATCATTGAATACCCGCATAGTGGAACTTTTTTTCAGCGAAATGATAACCTTCTTGGAGCTCTCGAACAAGTTTCCTTTGTCCATATGGTTGTTTCAATACACAGGCTGCTTACTCTGAAACCAGGAATATAAAGAGACTCAGGGAGCAAAAATTACCAAGCCATGAACCAAATCGACAGCCGGGTCCAGAAAGGGGTTTTCAAGGTCAAGAACGATATTGTTCACCTGGGGGGTAAACTCAATTTCCTCCAGTGGCAACTATGGCTTATAGGTTCTGCTATCCTTGCTTTGGTTGGTATAAGTACCTTGCTACCTGTTCAGGTTTTCATTGTTGCTGACATCATACCTTATAGCTTGTGGGTTATGGAGGAAAATCCCTTCTAGATGTGTACATTCCGCAAGTGGCACCCGATATTGAGCATAAAACGAGCAGTGGAAGGGGTAGCAAGGAACCATGCACTGACACACAGATAGCAAATCCCGTGAAGGCGGGCAGCGGTGCTTCTGCTATTGGGGGTTCTTAAGTAGTGATTGGAGTACTGGTGTTCCATCTAGATGGGAGGGTTTGACAGGAGGTTTGGCAGGGGGTAGTATTTCCTCTTGTACCTGTAGGGGGGGTTCCAGTGGCAGGGGCGGCCGGGGGTGGTGGGGTGTGCTTTTGCGGGGTGCTTTGGGCCATCGGGGGTGGTGGGGGTTTCTTAATACTGTGGGGGGCTTGCGGAAGTAAGGGCTGCATGACATGATAATATTTTAATCAAGAAATATTCGCCCCTCTAGCTTTCCGTCCAAAAAATACTAAGTCCCAGCCCCATACCACCAATCACGACCATCACACAGCCGTCGAGAGGGTCTGACCACCAGCGGAGGGGCTACAGGAGGTCAATACCTCGGTAACACTGTAGCATCACCGAGGACAGGGTTCGATTATCCGGTTGAGGGTGATAAGGAGGGTGGTCCATCCGAGGCCTTAGGCTGTGTCTGAGGTGGCTAATTCTAGGGGGCTATAACAGTGGTATCGCTTTCGCACGGAGGCACGCGATCAGAGCTCTCCACCTTTACCAGGCCAGCTACAATCTCATCCAGAGGTTGGGTGCACAGTATAGATCACTGAACGTGGAGCGCTTATCGAAGGTCCAAAGTTCGCGAGAGGTTCGGGGGACGAACTGGTGGAAAGGGCCTTGTCCTGCTCGGAATTCAGATGATGCAAGCGGGTCTCTGCCATTGTCTGGTGAGCTACACCAACAGGCTCAGGGTGAGCCCGGAGGTTCTCCTAAAGGGCAAAGCGGATTACCCGAACAATGGAGGCCTCCCTGTCTACGAGGGCAGGTCCGACAGCCTCCCTATTGAAGGAATGTTGCCAGTATTGAAACCTGACGGCCCCTTGCCGCTTTAGAGCGTGGTATAGTTGGTCTACCTTTGGGAGCCGTCCGACATGGGATATCCACAGCAGGGCGGCAATGCCGATCATCGACATCTCCCACATTGCCCCTTTATCCGACCCAGGATTACATGATATGGATTATGGATTCTTGCAGGATCGCGTCGATATTCAGCGAGACGAGCGGGAATCTAGATATGTATCTGTTAGTTAACCTGAGGTGTCCTCGCTGGAGTAGTCGCCTCTACATACATTTCAGAAATATCTTCATGACACCTCTCCAGCATGTCTGCCTCCAGACTACTGTTCATCGCATCCGGTGCTTGGCCCCCCTCCAAGCGGCACTTCTCCCCGGCACTTCCCCCAGTCCCCTGATAACCTGTTTCGGAAGAGCGCATACCCACTGGCAACAACCCCACTTGGGCGATGAAGTCAAAACCGCAGTAGTATCAAGCCCGCGTGATTTCAACGTCGCCCAAACATACCTCACATGGGTGTAGGCCACACGCCAGGGCGGTGTCAATGTCAGCCACAATCGTGGTGTCTAGGTCGCCGGCGTAGAATGTCGGTCATACCTTGTATTAGTGTTGACTACACTCTGTAGTAGTGTCGGGCCCTCGCCTGGTGGTGGCGACCGGGCCCCGGCATCCGCCGGAGCAGAGTCTGCATCGGTCGGGATACCGGGGTATGTAGGGTAGGCATAGATATCGGTGTGGGTATCAGTGACCTCTGGTATGGCATGTGTGCACAAAGCGCCGATTAGGAAGCCGATAGCTATAGACCGCCACCACGTCACAATTCCGATCATGCCTGCATGATGGTACTGTGACAGGTGTGGATCACTAGCCCAGAACCCCTGCTTGTAGAACATACAAAACTTAGGAGCTGTACCTCCGTAGGTAGATGGTGCATTACCGGTACCATAGACGGCATTTTGGGTAAACATGGAATGAGAATCCAGCCCTTGACACTACCGGCCATTAATACCCCCTTGAGGGTGGGCGCTGTCAACATGCACTAGGCAGCCATCTGTACTTGTAGGTAAACGGGCCCTTACTACTAGATATCAGGTAGGAAGAATGTTTATTTTGCTTAAACCCCGCCTACTTTTATTAATCCGATGCTAACTACTTTTGTTATTTAAGAAGCGGCCTGCCCTCTGCAACGGCCGGATCAGGAGTAACGGTAGGTCCCGCGCCCGGAGAATCCGTAGTCTCTGAAGGTGGCCTGGTAAAATATTTCTCTTCAAGGTATTCCTTCCCAATATATCCCCCAAACTGATTTATATTAGAATTGAAGAGAACGATGGTAGTGGGTGAAAATTATACGAACCAATGTGGCCCCTGCGAAGAGAAAACCAACTTGCCAAAGAAAGGGTTGGACTAGAGTGTGAATCTTTTCGATTTCGACATGTGTCTTTTCAATTTCGACATGTGTCTTTTGAATTGCTATATGGACCTATGCCGTTTTGGCAAGGGTTTCCTCCATGTCAGCCCTCTGATCCCCGTATCTTTCCTTGGTCGTGCACTTGCCTCCCTGAAACCCTTCTCGAGCGCCAACCTCACTTCGCCACAAGCCTTGTTAATGTCCACTTTGAAATCCGCAAGGTCCTTTTCGATTGTTAGCTTTTGCCGCGGACTCAACCAATATGAAGAAATACATTGACATGGGCAGTGGGATGATTGCCCAATTTTTTCACGCGGTGCCAGCTACCATTCCGTTGGTTGGGCTTGTGGCCTTCATCGTTGTTATTTGCTTCCTGGTTAGGGTGGCCATTGATATCTCCCGGAAAATAGGTTCTGCGGAGAGATAGACCCGTGGTTTGATGAGAGGTCAAGCGAACTCCCTGTTTTTTTACAAAAAGACGAAGCATCCTCACTGCTTGTAGTGATGGGGTTATCTTATCGGTTGGTTGCTGTTTCTTGAGTGGCGGTTGGATGGGTAGAAGGCGGAGGTGGGCTACACACCTAATTCTACTCGTGCTTCTCAGCCAAGATTTGGCACGCCGATTTCCCTAGTGGTTGGCACAAATTCTTCTCTACTGAAGGGGCATAACCTACCAGTAATATGAAGAGAGTATGGGAATCTAACTCTTCGGAGCAAAACAGCGCATGCCGTGATCCGGATATCTGTGAACTTCAGTAAATTTGTGGCAACTCCATCACCAACTATTCCCTCCAAGGGTTGGGCCCCTGCGTTCGTTCCACGCTACTAAGAAACTATTCCCCTTCGGTGGAAAAGAGCTGGCATCCCGAGCTAGGACAGATGAGGTGCCAAATCTTGGCTGAGAATCAAGAGTACTCTTGTCCCTGTGCCAAGACCTGGTGCCCACAGTACTTTGGAATACCTGCCCTTTCGGAAAGACGCTAAGTGAATGGAACCAACGGTGGTAACCCTCCTTCAAAGCAAAGTTCTTGATGGCCAATGACAAGTTTACAAACATCCTGCGCGAGGTGGATACTGCTCAGGCAGGGGAAGAGAAGAGAAGACAATTTATCCGCTGGGAATTTTAAAAGAACTAAACAGAGATCACGGATAGGGGGTCCTAGTGAAGCTTGTCATTGTGAGGCCAGTCTTTCTTTTGATAGTGTACTCGATATATGAAATTAAACTAGCTACACCGAACAAGTATCTCCCAGTGGGTAGGCTCAAGGCCCGTACCACCCTCCCGCATGGCATTATGTTCCTTAGGGTAATCAAACTCTCAACACTGCCCTCTCCAACAGTATGGTGCAAGCACTCCAAAATGTGCACCAGGCTGAATTTCAGGTGTTACGTGGCTTTGCTCTTGAGATTGCCAAGAGGCTACAACAAGGGTTCAAATCTCTGGTTAGAGGGTAATTATATTAGGGTTTTCAACGAAATAGATGTTATATATGAAGTAATAATATCAAGCTTAACAGGTAACAGTTATGATAATAGGTTTTCAGCATTTGCAGAATGCAACAGTAAAAGCCCTTAGTGATGAACAAAATGCCCTAACTTTGAATAAGGTGCAGCTTGGCAGGAATAATGTGGCTATACATAACACATTTTTCACTTTCACACCAAAATCAGCCATTTTCAATCAATTATACAGGTCTCTAAGTATATTTATTTTGCACAAAAAAAACACTACACTATTCTCCTCAACCTTCTCTATGATGTAGTGGTTTTTTTGGTTGTAATTAGAGTCTTGGTGAGTCTCCATAATCAATTGAAAATAGGATAAAGTCTGGTACACGTTTTGGAGTGCTCGCACTATACATCTGGAAAGTGCCACGTATATGATACCTCAGGTAGCGACACCACACCACTTATGCTCAGGCTGAAGCTTACCCAATCGGCAATGATAGCACCTGGCCGAAGCCCCCGAGTCGGCAGAGGGAAGGGAGACTTGTCTGCACAAGTGTGCACCAGAGTGGATATGTCTGGCGGGCTGTGGAAGGATAGGGTGATGTCTTTGTCACAGATGATAAATCCCGCCATGTTTACCATTTCACCAGTTAGTTACCGGTATGCTAAGAGATAGAGAGGGCAAAAGGGGCGACGGGGGTAGACGAAATTGGTTCTCATTATGGACTATTTTTGGGGGAGATGGGTATGAGAGGTTGGTTAGCTTCTACCTCCTTGTCTTCATCGGGATTGATGACTCAAATAGGGTTCGTTTCGGGGCGAGGCGGGTCAGGTTTTCACCTGCTCACCCCGCCCGGTTGCGGGTACGCGGTACCTTCCCGCTCCCCGCACGGGGGTCATCGGGGGACCCTGCCAACGCTCCCAGCTATGGAATTGGCTGGGAGCAGTAGCGGGGCCCCGTGGTGGGCGGGGGGAGAATCAGGCCAAACACCAGGGTCGGGCGGAGAACAGGGTCAGGGGCCGGCAGTTTTCGGGGCCCTGGAGGCCCCGTAATGAACTCTAGACTTGAACCCTGGCGGCAAGCTCCCGCAGGATCCCTGTAGCTCACTCGGAGTTTATTGTTACCCGTAAGGTGTAGCAGGTCCTTTCTTTCAAGCTGTCTATTACTAACTGGACGATCCCCGATGTCACATACCCATCAAAAACATCATCGCCATCAGTCCCCTGCGCAATTACATCCGCTCTTTCTTTCATGCATCCTCTTACGGTTGGTCAGCGCTGCAGGAGAATGCTTGTGGAACCGTTATTTAATTGTGTCTGAGGTTCGGTAGGAGGAGAATTGGAGCAATTCGGCAGGTGGGGCCCTCACTTTATAGTACCGTTTTGGAGTTTATGCCCCCCGTCTGGGGGGAATAAAGGAACTAGGTTGCCAAGATTTGTCAACCGCAACTTCTGTTAACATGACCTAGGTCTCTCTGCTGCAGCAAAAACACAAGCTTGTGTCCTGTGTGTCCTGTGCCTCAGACACACAGGACATATGGTTCCTGCACTTCAAAACGTGCACGAGGCTTGTAAGAAAATGTTACGTGGCTGTACTATTTTTTTCTTGCCAAAATAATCTTACTAGGCTTCAATACTACCAATTTTAGGGTCTAACAATAGGGTATTAAGATATGATATATTAGAATAAAGATATTAGATTTTAATTATACAAGCTAAATATAAAGTTATTAGTTACTATTTAATTGTATGATATTTCATGCAGGGTGCAGGGTACATTTGAATTCAAACTGAAATCACTAATTAGTCATGATAATGCAGTTATTAAAGCATTAACAGGGGTGGCTGATATAACATATTTTTCAGCTCTCACCAAAAATAGCTTATTTCAAAGCTTCATGGACATCTCAAAAAAATTTCTGGGTTGAAAAAAACCACTACATTTATTACAGCCGGTTGCTCTTTTGTGTAGTAGTTTTTTATAAATTTTAAAGGCATTCGTTGAGGCACTATTATGGATTGAAGAGTATGGAAAATCATGGAAGATGTTTTGAAATGCAGGAACCATACAGGATGAAAATCATTAGTCAGGACATGATATCTTAACATCCTGGTGTCTGGACTACAGACTTTCTTGCTTCCAGCACCCTACTTCTGTCTAGACCTAGATCCTGATATCACCTACTTCTCAACCACCTATAGCACCCCTTGCCTCTCTCCTGGTGCCAAGTGAGTTTCCAGCCCTATACCTCAATCACTCTACCTACACTACCCCTTCTTCATTACAATTCTCCTGACATCTTGCCTTCTCTATCGTTATCTCAATATTGAAATCTCCTTCTCCTAAATCAGTTAACCATACCCCTCACCATTTGTACTCGACACCCTGTCTTTGTAATACGTCTAGGCAGTTCTAGGATCTTCAAGTTTGTCCACCTGCCCAGATGACTCCATAGCACAGTTGAGTTATCCATATATTGTATGCTCCACAAGCAAGGGTGTTTGGCTGGCGGTGGGTACCTAACACGAATTGGGAAAGCTTGATCACAGATCAGAAAATTTTCACTGGAAATTGGCCGATTCGCCGCCAATACCCTCGCTAGCCCAGCACCCCTTGCTTGTAGAACATACAAAACTTAGGTGCTGTACCTCCGTAGCTGAGCCTGCACAGACAGACCTAGGGGGTGTTAACAGAAGTTAGGGCTGACAAACCTTGGCAACCTAGTTCCTTAATTCCACCTAGCCGAGGCAGAAAAACTGTAAAACTGGACTACGAAGTGAGGGTCCCATCTGCCGAATTACTACTGTACCTGCGGTAGCCTACTCTAATTCTCCCCCTACCGAACCTCAGACATAATTAAATAACGCCTCCACAAGCCTTCTCCTGAAACGCTGACCAACCGCAAGAGGATGCGTGAAGAAAGGGAGAATGTAATTGTGGGGGGGACTGATGGCGATGCTGTTTTTGATGGGTATGCGACACCGAGGATCGTCGAGGTTAGCAATAGACAGCTTGAAAGAAAGGACCCACTGCACCTTGGAGGTAACAATAAACTCCGAGTGGGCTACAGGGATCCCGCGGGAGATTGCCACCAGTGTTCGAGTCTTCGTAGAGTTCATTACGGGGCCTCCAGGGCCCCGGAAACTGCCGGCCCCTGCCCCCGTCCCTGCCTGGCCCTGGCTTTTGGCCTGGGGCACGGCCTATTTTTGGCCTGATTCTCCCCCCGCCCTGTACGGGGCCCTGCTACTGCTCCCAGCCAATTCCATAGCTGGGAGCGTCGGCAGGGTCCCCCGATGACCCCCGTGCGGGGAGTGGGGCGGGGAAAGGGGAGCGGGAAGGCACCCTGTACCCGCAACGGGGCGGGGTATGTGAAAACCCGCCCCGCCCCGAAACGAAACGAACCCTATTCGAGTCATCGATCCAGGCGAAGACAAGGAGGCGGAGGCCAACCAACCTCTCATACCCATCTCCCAAAAAATAGTCCATAATGAGAACCAATTTCGTCCACCCCCCTCACCTCAACCTTGACCTAGCAGGGGTCCAGCATACATGGGGCCAGGCAGTGTTCCCAAGCATCCAGTCCGTCCGTCCTTGGCTTCGGACGGGACGGACACCGGTTTCTGGAACTCTGCCCTAGACGGACACCCGTCCTGTGGTCCGTCCTAACCTCTCCCCGGGACGGCCGGCCGGGCCCTATAGGTGTCTCACCTGGAAATGGCCCTGCAGATGAGAGCCGGGCCCTACAGATGACGGCTGGGCCCTACAGATGACGACCAGGCCCTGTAGATGACGGCCGGGCTCTGCGAATGACGGCCGGGCCCTAGTGAGGACGGCCGGAATGTTATAGTGGGTGGTATCGGAGGACGTAATGCCCAGCAGGGAATGGAAGACGAAGTGGACGAATGTGTGAAACTATGGCAGTAAACCGAGCAGTAGTGAGAGGTAAGGTAAAAAGAATGGCTACGTTCTTCTCTTCCAAACTAATGGTAACAACAAACGTATAAATGAAAAACACAAACAGTAAACTCTGACCCTTCTATCGATCACCACACCAATCTCTATCTCTCCATGCATGCTCTCCTTTCCACCGCACACTCCCGTAATAACAAAGGAAAGACATGCTCAATGAATCTGTTCCGCCAATCCCCCAACCTCATACAGCAAGACTCCCGAACCTTCCACAATCCAGCCCAATCAATCCACATCCTTCTAGAACCTTCAACACGGAAGATGCCATTGGTATTAAGACTCCCGGGCCCGGGCATCAACCCCTCGGACGGCGGTCTTTATCAAAGACGGACGCCATGCCCTGCCGTCCTTACACACCCTGCCCGGGACGGTTAGGAACACTGGGGTCAGGCAGATCTTCCTCTTACCCCTTTTACTTTTTCGGTTTTCGGATATTCGTGTTAAGGAGTGAGTAGGTGGGGGGATCGACTAGGGAGAGGGGGAGGGGGACATTATCGTAGAACATTTCATGAAGGTGGCACTCTCCCTGGTTGGTTTATAAACAGGTGGTTCAGGAATGGGTACTAACGGCCACCCTCACGGTTTCATTCTTTCCTTTCCTTGCCATAGTCTCTCCACCTCACCATCATCCTGAACGGCCCATTTTTTCTCCTTCTTCTGCATTTCTCCCGCTTGGTCTTCTCGGCTACTTTCTCCTATTCTTTGCTTGCTTTTCTGTAACCTTCCACCCTCTTCTCTCTCACTTTCAGTTCCTTTGCGGCAGTCTCCTCAACAGGTTTACACACGGTTGCATCTGAGAGATGTGTGAAGTAAAATCCTATTGGCTCCACCGGTGGTGGGGGGGAATACCGAAAGCCCGAGTAGTGAAGTGGTGGAATAGGAGAAGGGCTTCGGGGAGGCAAGTACACAACCAAGGAAAGATACGGGGACCAGAGGGCTGACATGGAGGAAACCCTTGCCAAAACGGTATAGGTTCATATCGCAATTCAAAAGACACATGTCGAAATCGAAAAGATTCGCACCCTAGTCCAACCCTTTCTTTGGCAAGTTGGTTTTCTTTTCGCGGGGGTCACATTGGTTCGTATAATTTTCACCCACTACTATCGTTCTATTCTATTCTAATATAAATCAGTTTAGGGTGTATATCGGGAACGTGTACCTCAAGGAGTATTTTTCTACCAGGCCACCTCCAGAGACTACGGATTCTCCGGGCACGGGACCTACTGTTACTCCTGGTCCGGCCGTTTCAGAGGGCAGGCCGCTTCCAAAATAAATTAAAATTTAAGAAATTAGTAGTTAGCATGGGGTTAATAAAAGCAGGGGTTTAAGCAAAAACAATCATTATTCCTATGTGATATCTAGTAGTAAGGGCCAGTTTTCCTACAAGTACAGATGGCTGTCTAGTGCATGTTGACAGCGCCCACCCTCAAGGGGGTCTTAATGGTCGGTAGTGTCAGGGGCTGAATTCTCATTCCATGTTTAGACTCTAAGCCATCCATCTATCCACTCTCCCTCCCCCTCTTCCTATCTCATCTCCTCCCCTCATACCTGCCCATCCCCTTTTTCACTCCTCCAAACACATCCTGCACGTTCAACACAGCTACCACAACCGAAGCCCTACCCCTAGGAGGTACCGGTATTTGCTATCCGAAGGGAGGTGTCGTATTTAGTTAGCATTAACGGCACATACGGCCGCCTCCGCCTCGCCCACGTACTAGCCAATGTCATCACCACGATCCGCTCCCACGCTCACTCCCGGTGCTGACTGGACAACCAGGTCAGTGTCCCGGGGCCTCACGAGTCACGACGAGGAGGGGCAGGAACCAGCACGGGTGACAGCGGCAGGAGCTGATGCAGGAGGCCGATGCCGTCCGACAGGTGTGCAGACCGCTCAAGAAAGCGTGTGATCCGCACCTGGCACAGTGCCATCATGCAGGGATGATCGGAATTGTGACGTGGTGGCGGTGAACACTAAAAAGCTGTGAAATTCGGGAATAAACGAAGGGATGGTTGCTAAATCCCTGGAGTGTTTAGGGCACCATTCCACTTCTACTACCCTAGCGACGACCTCTTTGCAGAGCCCGCTAAATCCCCCTACTTGGGGGTGGTTGTTGGCGGAGAATACTGTAGTGGCTAGTATTTGGGGTGGATGGCTCGCTATGGCGGGGAATACGTTATCTCCAGACTATTACTCGTACACTTTGGCAACCAAGATTGTAATCTCACCAATCGTGACCCTTAAAGACGGGCCATGTGGGCGAATTTTTGGACATGTTATTGGTCAGTCTCCCAAACCGCAGTTTCAGAAAATCGTCTCGGGACAGATCACAGGCGTCACACGTCCCATTAAACAAGCTACTGGTAAGCATGCTACTTGTACTGTACAGTGCCAGCAGATCGGCCCAACCCTCGTTAAGGATTTCCGGGAAATCAGCGATTGTAAGCCATTGACAGTTTAACATTCCGTATTGAGTGTTAAGTTGATTAGGTTCAAAGCATGTCCTACAAAAGGAAATTTTTCCACATGGGTGATTAAATGTGGCTGTGCTTAAATGAACCGCTAGCCACTGCATACATCTCAAACAAAGTCCCTGGCCCCAACGCCGACAAGTCCCTCAAATAAGCTCGCAATTTCTAGAACTCTTGAATCGGAACCACCCCTTCCCAAGAAAGTAATTGAAAACGGCATCTTTATTCCGTCTTCCAAGTAGTGCCCTGCCGGAACCGCGATGGCGCACAAATCCAAAACATTGCCAAAGTGGGTGAAGGTCCCCAAACGGGAGTTTATGGCGATGGGATCTTTCAAAACTGCGGAGATCCGAGGATGGAATGGGGCGGTGGGGACTATCAGGACGTCGATGTATGATGGGTGGGCGGGGTTGAAAAGTGTAGTGTTGGCCTTTCTTGTGAGCCTAGAATTTGTTAGACCACCCGAGACATGTGTCGGAAAAGAGGACAGAAAATACCCGGCCATCTTCCTAATATCCTTGTACGCTTCCGCGGCACTAACACCCTTCTCTAGTACATTCTGGAGGATCTCCCGGATCACCGGGTGTAACTCGTCCTTCTCCCTTCCTACCCACCCGTTGTCCGGTAAGGATGCAAGTCGCTCATTCACCAGGGCACCGTCATATAAGAGCTTTCCAGCCTCCTCAAAGAGTCCCCAATCGCCTTCTTTAACCTCCCCCCCGATCTCTTGGAGGCCACCGATAACCTGATAAAATAGTTTCCGATATTGCGGAGAACACTCTGCCACAGCCTTCCTATCCGGGAGGGCAAACTTCCACTTCTTCTCGGCCAACGCATTTACCATCGGCAACGGTAGTGATCCGGGCGCCTTTGAGTACGGATCATCTGGATCATATCCTCTGACAAGATTCCAGAGTTTTCGGACATCCTTCACACCTCCCTCGGGCGTGACCATAAATGATAGACAATCTAGCGACTCGCAGGCTTTCATAACCCCGCTGAAGGAAACAGTGCCTTTTGTAGGCTTCCATCCAACCACACCGTTAAAACCTGCCGGAATGCGCCCAGATCCAGCAGTGTCAGTGGCTATAGCAAAAGATGCTAATTCCGCCCCCACTGAAACTCCGGAACCAGACGAGGATCCGCCAGATACATAGTCCGGATTGAAAACGGAAGCAGGGATTCCATGTGGGGAACGGCAACCGGTTAGGCCTGTCGCAAACTGGTCCAAGTTGGTTTTGCCAATGTAAATCGCGCCCATTGATATCAACCGCGAATATACCTTTGAGGAGCGCGATGGAATATGGGTGAGTGGAGGGCAAGCTAGGGTTGTCGGAACTCCGGCAACGTTTATGGAGTCTTTCAAAGTGAAAGGCACGCCATATAGTGGCGGGAGATTGGTAAGATCCGGGAAGAGTTTTTGAAGCGATTCGGCGTAGGATATCAAGGCTGATCGGTCAACAAGGCGTGTAAAGGTTGACTTTGTTTGGCTGTATTCCTCGATTCTGGTGTAGAGACTGGTAATCACCGTCACAGGGGATAGTCCGGACCTGTAGGACTTCCGGAGAGAAGCTAGGGTTAAACGCCCGTCCCATACCGGCGGTGTTGATGGAGGGCTTTCGGGACCCAGGCCCGGAGAGGGAACACCCGGGGGGGCATGCGCCGAGGTCAATGCTTTCAAGAGGTTTGGGAGGGAAGAGACAAAGCCGAAGAGTCCTTGCGACCAATGAATCATGTCCAAAGATGGAACTTTGAAATTATCATTATACCCGGCGGCGCATTCTTCAATTATACCTATTTCCTGTCAGATCCCGAATCCCAGTCTTCCGCAACCGGGCTCCCCTCTGGTGACTTACAACACTCAAATCCGCGATCGTTGGCTTCCCGCACCGTGGTTGTCACGCAACACTCGGTGGTAACACCGCCGACAATCTTACCTCTGTTAACAAATGATCAGGATGACAAAGTCACATAAATACGCACCAAATGGGTGATTCCCCATCCGACCAACTCTTCCAACAAATTTGTATTCCAGAATGCACCTTTTCCGGGTTTATCCACAACTACTTCCCCCAGCTTTGGTCGGCACTCATCCACGATATCGTGTCCATACTCCCCCCTTACCAGTAATCTGCCCAATTCTCCAGGGTCTCCAATGACCTTTGAATGGTTGGTCCCAGGTGCCGAGGCCTGACGTTTCAGCTTTGATGATGGGCAATCGGAAAGGTCTGGGAGATGCCCTTCGCGAGTGTGGAAGATGGGAAGCTCCAATTCACGGAATGCTTGAAGAATTCGAACACAATTAGGAACCACCGCCTTTACAGCCGTGAGATTCGTTCCAGACTGTATGTCGCCAAAACCCGACGGGAGGATAAAGTCACGCTGAAGATCTATCAATAGAAGAGCAGTCGAAGAGAGCGGAAAGGTGTATGGGTAGGGCTTTGCTTCGATTGTGATATTTTTCGGGAGAGCCTCCATCACTTTCTTTGGCCCGAAATCCTGCCGATGGGGTTTGGAGTGTGGAGACCCAATTTTGAATTCTTTTTGATGGCGATTCACTCGATATTGATCTCTGGGGGCGAAATAGCGGTCTGTTTTCCTCCACCGTGTAGAAAAACTGGTTGCCAATTATATAGGAAACAAGGGATACGCAGCAGCGGGGCAAACCGGTCCAAAGGAGCGCTCGGCAGCAGGCTAGTGTCCATAGACGCGGGATTCCCATGCAAGGTATCTGCCAAGCGGAACAACAACTGTCACTATATCCCTTCTCGAGCCCCTGTATCTCCGCTTATCGTGGTGGAAGGTGACCCTTTTACGTTTGAAAACCTTGCACTCGGATTGGTCGGCGGTGATCAGCGTCCTCTGCTCTCACAAGAACTGAACAGTAATATCGGGCTGTCCGAGGTTGTGCAGTGTGGGCCTGGGGACTGATGGTACGGTACTGTACCCCATACCGGTAGGGGGGGGGGGGTCTTGGGGCAAAGGAGGAGGTATGATGGCCAACAGCGGGCAGGACCTGAGAGACGACCAATCCTCGAGAACCCGAGTACATGTATGATGGTCTGACGCCCCCGCCGGGCCGGAGGCTCGACTCGAGGTGTGGGGGATGCTAAGCAACTGCTATCGATAACTGCCTCAATTTAAGCGAGACCAACCCAAAATCGGCGAACTGGCGCGTTTTCTCATCACGCGAGACGCCCAATAAACTAAGCCCCACGCCACTGAAAAAAGTCGATCTGATCAACTCTCACAAACCGGGCCGCCGGGTCTGGAAGCTTGCGTGAGAGTGGCCTGCCGCAGGGCTGCCCGTGGGCGCTCGAATCGGAAACCCTTCGATCAGCTTTGGTCCCAGCATTCCCGGCTCCAACTGCTTGTGATGTATTGTGGGGTGTAGATTCGCCTGTTCTTGCTTTTTCATCCAGCACGGGATTGCTTTTTGGAGTTCTCCCCGAAGAGACCTGCAGCGAGTATGTGTGGGTGGCGTTGCCGAAGGGGACCGGGAACCGTCGCGATAAAGAGGGGACCGAAGAGTAAGGAATAGGACATCGGTGAGGGACTCGTATTTAAGTTACATGCCCTCTTCCGGGCTCCTTTAGACTCGGGATTATTCAAACCTTCACCAATGCCTTCACGATATTCATCAATGCTACCGAGAGCTTTGCCCCGCCTTCGTCTCCCATACAGGGCTGGTGCGTATGGAACGGCTAGATGGAGCAATAAAGGTGAGAGAACTCTTGCTGTCTCCCCTAAGTCCAGTCGATTGACGGGAGAGACCCGAAATAGATCTTGACCCAGTCCCGATGGCATTGAGGACGTGGGGAGGTCTCGATTACTGGGCATACTGGTGCTCCGATATGCTAGCGCCACCGCTTGCTGCGACAGTTAGCACGTAAGTTACCTCCCCTGAAACGGATTGCCCGAGATGCTAAGCAAGGAGATCATAGTGTAATGTCACTAGGATTCACTGCGAGAGAAACCGTTCCTATTGTGTTCTTCGGCTTCATGATCTGTAGCGTTGTGGTCACACTGACGGGGAAGGTCTGATTCAAGTTCCCGTGTCTAGGAGTATTGGCTAAGTGAAAGGGACGAAGATGGGTGCAACGTATCACGTAGCCTATCCAGTTATTGTGAGGTCCACATTCGGGATGATTGGAAGTTATCCTGCTATCGTGATCAGAGGTGCCCACTATCTTAGAAACTTTAGGAATTAGATACAGCTAACATTCTGCGCAGCCTTTGTGGCCATGATGTGGACTGCCATTCTCTGTGTGCAAGCTGGCGCCTTCTTACAGAACTGCATAGAAGCCATCTGGCCCTCCTTCAAGAAATTTCCCAATCGCCTCCCCGAAGGCGCCGGAATTGATTGTAGGTCGTTTTGTGCAGTACGAATAGTTCTTACTAGGGGGTGATTTCTAATTACGCTCGTACATAGCTGCGGGCTTGCTTTGCTTCTTTCTATATTGGATACTCCAGACGATTCTCTCCTTGATGCCTATCCAGAAGCTCCGCATACTGTTTCTGGCAAAGGCAATCATCGTTCCACCAACCTTCCTCGCTCTCTTTCTATGGGCCGTAATGTTCGTCCCCATCATGTTAGATGCTTCTAACACTCGTGACATCTAACAAACTTTACAGAGTAACACACGGTGGTGGCCCCCTTGTAACGGGAAAATACGAACTCACAACCCCAATGAACACTGCCTATTCCGCCCTGACCGGACTCAACGTGATGATCGGCCTCTTCTCTTCCATGGCGGTAAACATGCCCGATTTCGGGAGGTTTTCCATGAACAATCTTGCCGGAGGTCATCAATATTTCGCATTGCCAGTTATTGGAACGCTAGGCGCACTGACGCCTATTTTTGTTACCTCTGCGCACTCACAGATCTGGGGCGAATTCGAATGGTACATGCCTGCAGTCATTGCGAAATTTGACAGCCGAGCGGCGAAGTTCTTCACCGGGGCAAGTTTTATACTGGCTACAATCGGGAATCAGATAGCTGCTGGGTAAGGCTTTCTCCCCTAATAAGCTAAGAATCGGGTGAAGAGCATGAAGTGATTGTGCGGTCTTCTGATTTTTCTTGTAACCGAGCGAATACTAATATTTTGCTTTTCCTATAGTTCCTTCCCCTTCTCGAATGGTAAGGCTCTTGAGCTGTGCCTCTATCTTTAATCCCTCGCCACTCAGATAGAATGGATACTGATTTAGAAGCAAGACGTCAGCGGAATGGCGCCCCAATACGTCAATATCTTCCGCGGAACACTGTTCATGTCATTTTTTTGCGTCGTCTCAGTAGGTAACCCCGCGTTCCTTCTCACTACAGCTATGCTCACACAGATAGACACCCTGGAATATCATCAAGAATGCCACAGGCCTGCTGTCCTTTCTCTCTGGTTACAGCTGTATGATGGGGCCGCTGGCTGGGACCATTGTTTGCGACTTTTATCTAATCCGCAAGCGTAAGTTGGATGTTCGGGAGCTCTACAAAGAGCATGGAATCTACTGGTACACATGGGGTGTTAACTGGAGAGCATTTGTTTCATTCCTCCTCGGATTTCTACCAACGCTGCCTGGCTTCGCGCACAGCATCGAGAAGACACTTGATGTTGGCGGTGCTTGGAAGGTCCGAGTCACTTCTCCCTTTTATGCTGCAGTCATACTAATGAGGGGTGGGCGTCTAGCTTTATACATTCGCATGGCTCTTCGGATTTTCTGTTGCGGTCTTGTCGTATTATATTATCTGCACCTATATCTCCCCGCCAACGGAGAGCTTGGTAGAGTTTGCGGTTTTACCACCTGGCAAGGTTGATGTGTCTCTGGGCACTACACTCGAAGATACGGCTAGTGATGACAAAATTGAAGATATTGCAATTGGAGAGAAGGAGGTCGGACGAGAGAGCAGAGACTCGCCTGTTTAATCCTTTGACAGTACACTCCGCACGGGTGCCCCATAATTGTCTACCCGATGAGATTATGTATTTTCTTTTTTCTCATGTATTTTCCGCTCTTCCGCTGCGCAGGTAGCCTCGTAAGCGGGGCTCGGTGGGGCCGATCTTGCAGTCTCATCACTACGATACAAATATTATTATGCATTCCTAACTACAGAGATGTGCACTATATAAGGCCTACAAAGTGAGAGCATGTGCAAATCATCTCGTTGGTCAGATCCATCGGATATAGACTAGTGTGCTGTTGTAAGGAGTCTCATTATCCGACAGGGTCAGGGTTCAGACTCTGAGAACACGGTTGAGACTTAGAGGACACAGTTGAGACTTAGAGGACACAGTTGAGACTTAGAGGACACAGTTGAGACTTAGAGGACACGGTTGAGACTTGGAGGACACTAGGAAATCTCTGTACACTAGTTTTCAGCTTATAAGAAGCCTTGTCCTTCCTTCTCCTGTATCTAAGAACTATAAGGATTCTTTTCGTCTCAAAATCCGCGCTGTTACTACAATCTGCACTGTTGCTACAGGTTATGAGCCCGGGGCAATTATCTTCTTCTATACTGAACCATTACCTATTGATATTCTCTATCCCCCATTTGTGAACCTCCACCATCCAAGATGTCCTCCTCTGATCTTATTCCTCCAGCTGCATCCAGCAGTACCACATACAGGTGCAAATTTGGAGAGATGGTGAAACTCCAGTATGGCAATTGGGATCAGTGGTCTCGGAATGTTCAAGTGTTCCTACGTGCAATTAATGCACTTGACATAGTCTTGGGGGTTGAGGCTGCACCTCCTGCACATCAGCGTACAGCCTTTAATGAGTATCGCCTTCGGTCTGGTAAAGGCTTTGCCATAATTTACCATTCTTGTCATACAGATGTTCGCGAATTTATCAATGACCAGATGGAGCCAGCCGAGGCTTGGACTATTCTTAAGGAGCGGCTTGACAACACTGCTTCGAGGGCAGGGAGAACCTTAATTCTCCGTAAGTTCAATCAAGCTAGACCGAAAGCTGGTGAACCGATTCAAACCTATATCTCTCAACTACTTTCAATCCGCCGTACTTTAGCTGGTACTGAGCAGGCCATTAGTGAGGAGGCCTTTACATCTCACTTGATTAGTACATTGCCTTCAACCTTTAATGGCTTTGTTGATATTGTTTTGCACCAACCTGGTGGCTTCACAATTGACGCCAGACTTGTTTCTATGATCCGTGAGGCAGAGGTCACAATGGAGAACCGTGAACTAGACTTGTCTAGTACCAATATTGCAAGCACCTCAACATCAGCACTTGCTACTCAGTTCAGCCATCCTGGTCGATCAAATTCCTATCAACATCGTCGTACCTACCATGGCTCCTCTCAAAACCGTCGTTTTCAAAACCGTAACTCAACTCGCCCTCCATTTTCAGACCGTGCACTGTCTGGTAGTTACTCTAAACCTACTAGTCAGCATATGGTCTGCTGGTACTGTGGTGTAACAGGCCACATTGAACGGTGTTGCCATGTGAAAGCGCGTGCATTACGGGCAAGGAGAGGTAGTCAGCGGACCACCTATCGGAGAGGACAAGACCGATTTCACACACAACAAGAGCCAAAGCTAGTTACCAGTGTAGAGGCTTCAGTGGCTAATGTTTGTGCATTAGCTACTACTCATCATAATGCCAACCATGCTAGCTCCGTATGGCTTATCGATTCAGGGGCCTCACACCATCTTGTGAACCAGCAGATGGTAGTATCTCAGTTCAAGCCCTATGCTGCAGCAATTAGCATCAAGTTGGCCGATATGACCATTGTTGAAGGCACTGGTGAAGGAAGTATTACACTTTCTCTTGTTGATAGTTCTGGTCGGAGAAGCACCGTTTGGCTTCCAGTTATTGTTGTTCCTGCCTTGAGGTTTACGCTTCTTTCGGTGGCCCAGCTGTCACACCAGTTTGACATTAGCTTTGAAGGCTCTGGTTGCTATCTCTCTCGATTCGGAGTCTGCAGTAAGACATTGATTGCAGAACTGCATGATGGTCTTTACCATGTGGATCCAAAGAGTATCAACATCCCCTCCCATATGTCTGCCCTATCTGCTACGGCAGTTTCACTTAAGACATGGCATGAGAGACTTGGCCATATCAACTATCAAGCTTTGAAGAGAATTATTGGCAGTGACGATATTCCAATGGATCTTTGTCAACCATGCATTCAGGCAAAACAACAACAGCAAATTATTCGGAAGCCAGTAGAGAACCGTACAACTAGACCGCTGGAGTTGATTCACTCTGATCTCTGCGGTCCAATCTCAACATCCTCCTATTCTGGTGCGCGCTATTTTATTCTCTATATTGACGACTTCTCTCGTTATATATGGGTCTACTATTTGAAAAGCAAGGAGGCTGTAGAAGTTACTTCACGATTTCAAGAGTTCAAACTTCGGATGGAGAAGCTATTTCCTAATTTTCCCTTATGCCAGTGTCGCTTTCGTTGCGATAATGGTAAGGGAGAATATGATAACCGCTTTTTCCGCGGAATCTTGCGCGCCTCTGGAATGAGTTTCGAGCCATCGCCACCCTACAGTCAACATAAGAATGGAGTGAGTGAGCGGATGATTAGAACGATCGTAACTAAGGCTCGAACTATGTTACTTGATTCACAACTTCCTCCAGAGATGTGGGCAGAAGGAATTGCTACCGCTGTATACATACATGCTCGGACTCCAAGCAGATCAATTGCTGAAAGAACACCATTTGAGGTACTGAATGGAAAGAAAGCCCCGATTGAGCACTTAAGGCGGTTTGGCTGTCAGGCCTATAAATTGATTCCAAAGTCCCAGAGATCTGATAACAAGTTTGGATCTCGATCAAGAAAGTGTATCATGCTAGGTTATGTACATGATAGTACTACGATATGGCGTTTGTGGGATTTAGTTGAAAAGCGAGTCATTCAAGCATCCAATGTCATCTTCGAGGAAGAGGTAATTGTGGGTACCAATAAGACTACCGATGTGCTACGAAAGGCACTACTAGATGTTGAGGCTGTGGAGAGTCTTGCAGAAGCCAGAGGTACTAGTTACTCGGAGAATGAAGTAGATAAGTCTATACCAACAGAAATCTATGTTGAAGAGCAAGCTGAAGAGAATATATCTCATATGCCCGCGATACCGGAGCAGGGGTCCTTACTATCAGTAGAAGGACAGCCTACAGTTAGTCTCCGAAGGTCTGGAAGAAGACGTTTGCCTACTGTTCCAGTTGCTGCTATAGGAAAGACAGTCCTGAATACTGAGCCAGATACATATCAAGAGGCTAGCCAGGAAGAGTGCTGGAGGCAGGCAATGCGAGATGAGTATTCCTCGCTATTACAGAATGACACCTTTGAATATGTGAGCACTGTACCCGCTGAGAAAAAAGCTATTGGTTGCAAGTGGGTTTATAAGAAGAAAATCAACCCCAATGGAAGTACACACTTTAAGGCAAGACTAGTAATAAAGGGCTTTCAGCAAGTAGGCAGTATTGACTATACTGAAACCTTTGCCCCTGTTGCACGGTTGACTATCTTACGACTGGTACTTGCTATTACTGCTCTTCTAAAATGGAAGATTGACCAAATGGACGTCGTTACAGCCTTCTTGCATCCGAAGATTGATGGTGAAGTGTACATGCACATTCCAGAAGGCTCTGAATGGCTGGATCCAATGATTGCAGCAGTAGAAGGAGCTCGAGAGAACCTTGTCTTTTGCCGTTTGAAGAAAGCTCTTTATGGCCTAAAGCAGGCCCCAAGGCTCTGGTTTAAAGATATTGATGCATATCTGAAGTCAAGCAAGATGGGATTCACTCAAAGCAGTGCCGATCCCAACCTCTATTTATCCTCCTCACGTTCAGCAATTCTTCTTCTTTATGTTGATGATCTGCTGATCACAGCACCAACTGCGAACATAAAAGAAGATATCAAATCACAACTTCGATCTCAGTACCGAATGACCGACCTAGGCCTTGCGAAGCAGTTTCTAGGTCTCCAGATTATTCAATCACCAGAGGATGGATCTATTGCTCTTAACCAATCTCAAATGATTGAAACTCTGCTAACTCAGTATGGTATGGAGAATTCAAATGGTGTTCAGACTCCACTTGAACCACAACGAAAAACAGGATATCGACGCTCATTTGATGAGGCCTTCTCAACCGCTATCCCCAATTCACATATTACTTCTAAGTCTGTAACTGTTAGTAGCCAGGATTACTCAGACTCTCCGCTATCTATCTCCGACCAACAGCAGTACCAGTCACTTATTGGAAGCATAATGTATATTATGCTTGGATCTCGACCGGATCTCTGTTTCAGTATATCATATCTCAGTCAGTTTAATACATCTGCCAAACACAGTCACCTCTTTGCCCTGAAGCGACTCTTACGGTACCTGCGGCGGACAACGACTTACCAGCTTCGATACCAATCCCATTTACCTAAAATGACTCTGTATTCATCTGTCAAGTTACATGGTTATTCGGATTCAGACTGGGCTGGAGATAGAGACCAAAGACGCTCTACCGGAGGATATCTGTTTATGCTTGCCGGAGCAGCTGTTTCTTGGAAATCACAAAAACAGCGTCTAGTAACTCTGTCATCTACAGAGGCAGAATATGTCGCAGCATCCGAGGCCGCAAAGGAGGCAAAGTGGCTACGACATCTGTTATGTGAAGTCTCTGCATCTTTGAACTTGAATGCAAAGGCCTTATCTCCTTCTACCCTCCTTGGACCTCTTTCAGATATTCAAACTAGTCAGTACAGTAATGCAGACTATGTGGGGAAGTCATCAGAGCAGCCACCACCACTTCAACTCTTTCTCGACAACCAGAGCGCCCTCCACCTTGCCAAGAATCCTAAGTTCCACGAGTGGTCGAAACACATTGATGTTAAGCATCACTTTATCCGAGACTGTCTGAATGAAGGGCTCCTTACCCTATCCTATGTACCAACAAACGATATGCTTGCAGATGGCCTTACGAAGGCACTTCCAGTACCTACGCATTCTAGGCATATGCTGCTTGTTGGACTTAGCACTCTATGTACTAGTTAGAGATTTTTCAAACATGGACCATTTGTTTGAGTAGTGGTATCAGTTTAATTTTTTGGGTTTCTTCTTTCTTATTTTACCTGTACTGGTGATACTCTTTTCCTCCTCTCAGGTTCTTTTTTCCTCAATGAGGTTTTTCCTGCAGAGATAGGTTTTTAATGAGGTCACCACTGTTTGTATTTTCTTTCCTTTTTGTTTCCTTTCTTTTACTTTCTCTCCTATTATCTATATTGACTTCCATATCAAGAACTGACACCTTGATTATATGGAAGAGTGGGAGTGTTGTAAGGAGTCTCATTATCCGACAGGGTCAGGGTTCAGACTCTGAGAACACGGTTGAGACTTAGAGGACACAGTTGAGACTTAGAGGACACAGTTGAGACTTAGAGGACACGGTTGAGACTTGGAGGACACTAGGAAATCTCTGTACACTAGTTTTCAGCTTATAAGAAGCCTTGTCCTTCCTTCTCCTGTATCTAAGAACTATAAGGATTCTTTTCGTCTCAAAATCCGCGCTGTTACTACAATCTGCACTGTTGCTACATGTGCCACCGCACCAAACCGAGTGAGACAGTATGAACGTTTATTAAAGTTCCAGTTATAGAGGACACAGAATTGAAGAGAAAATAAAACCACCATGTACATCCCGTACTGACGAGAGAAGCAACGGTACCGAGATACGTATCATACCAACAAAACAAGCAATTCATTCATCAGGCCAGATATCATAGCCCCTGAGTTTGAACCCCTAGCTCACCCCTTTCTTAATCTCGCTCCTCCCCCCATAGCCACCGCCTCGGAACATGAGCACTCTCCTTCACAAATACCCATTAACCCCCAAGCGGGAGCCCAAAGAACGTGCAAACACGAAGTCCAATAGCCCTAGAGCCATAGGTAGAGGTGGTATTGGCTCGATGCGACCATCGATCTGCTCTCCGCGAGGCCCCGACTCCCCAGAAAGGTATCTAACTAAGAAGTCTCAGTAAAATAGGGTGAGCTGTCCAGCAGAGTTTCGAAATAGGGCGGAGGGCGACTCAAAAACCCCTCTTCCGGGCTGTGGAGATGGACCGGAAGTCCTCCGGAACAAGTGTTGATGGTGGCCCCTACGAAGGGCTTGACATGGCCGGCGGGCTGAGTGGTAGACTCCCGCTCGCCCTTGTTCTTCTGTGCACAGCCACGAGTTTGGATTCTAGGTTTGAATAAACTGGTTAACCTGGGTGGCTTCTCTCGCTCTCTCCCCTCCCTCTCCCCATTCTCCCTCCCCCCCCCCCTCTCCTCTTTCTCCCCCCCCCTCTCTCTTACCGTTTGCCGTTTCCATGAGTAATTCTCTCGGTGGTGAATTGCTTAGCCGATGTGTTGGTGCACTGCGCGCTTTCGAAGGAGGGAGTCCGGGGCCAGGCTGCGGTGCAGTTTGTGGTGGGGTGCCAGGTTAAGTACTTGCTCAGCTGCGCCCCGCGGTATCACAATACCGCTTTCTCTGGTATCACAAGAAAGTGCTGCATCTCTTGTTGAGTCAGCCATGCATTTCTAGGCTGCTCGTGTGATACGGCGTCTAGGGAAACTCCCGGGGCGCTCCACTGTGTCACAGGCCGAGCTAAGTCACAGGGTGCGGGCACATCCAAATCCCAAGCCGACACCAGGTCAATAGGTCAGCGTTAGGGTTACTTTACCGGCACAGACTTGGAGCTGGGGATGCGACATGATAGCGAGCAAGAGCTGAAATTCCTGATGATTGCAACACTATGTCGTCCCCGGTCATCCAAGCCGAACGAGGTCATGCCAAATGACCTGTATGTGCGCACCCCAGCCCTTGCTTTGACAAGATCACACAATCTGGGCTGTGCTCTCTAAAAATTTGGATGAGGCGTTTTCGTCGGCCTCGCCAAATACTCATCCTCCTCCACCACCAGTGCAGTGGTCGTTGCTGTCACAAAACGGCGCATTACCGGATCTTCAGGACCTGATGCACATATCTAGTACGCCTTAGCTGACCCAGGGATTGAAAACTACGAGCCTCTGATGAGAGTTACGGGTATCGGTTGCGGGCCATTAAGGAACGTGGGGGAGGGCACAACGGGCAAAGCGATCCAATGCGATCCAAAGAGAAGATTTTTCAGGCCAAAATTACTGAGCGATCCCAAGCCACAATCCTGCAAAAGCGAAACGGCCTACCCACACAGGATTCCGAAGAAACTCCAGGGGGCTTTGGCCCCGATCCCCGTACAAGTGGTGCAAGAAATATTCAGAACTCATAATTTCTGAGGTCCCTTTCAGGAGAGGTTTTGCATGGGAAATATACTACTATAGTGCACCGCAACCCGATCTACCTCCAATAGGGTCATTCCAGATGTACGGCTGTGAGGGTGCAGGTGCCGGTATGTGGAAATAATTACCGTACCCGAGACATAAATGTATTGTGCAATGGCTTTCAGATCTAATCTCAAGGTAACCTGCGCTGCTCCGGCCCCCAAGGAAATACTGGTTCCAGCACTTTTTCGTCTGTCCCTCTCCCACATTTCCCCAATCGGGGGGGGCACAGGAGTCTCCCTGGCTTACGAGTGACCGAGTGTGAAAATGCATAGAAGAAATTTAATACAACAGTGCAGTTTCTGCTTTCTACAAGACACACATCGCTGATGTACTGTACTGTAGGCGAGTATAATCATAGGTAGCGTTCATAATTTCTCATTATATCACGTTAGATCTCGTGAATAGCACAGCCCCCGTGAAAAAAAGAAGAAAAAACAACCTGCCGTTCCCTTATGCAAGTTCCATAAGGCTCCTATGGCACTCGGGATGCAGTATATCCTGTAGTGATAGGATGTGATTTACAAAACCACTGACTCATTCCTACTAGTAACCGCTTGGATCTACAAGACGTCGATGGGAGGCCCTTTACCTCTGTGCCCCTCCATCCGTATTGCCTCGCTCTCCTGTAACAACGGCTCTAGCGAATCCTCCGTGGCCTTTCCCGGCCTTTGCTTTGTTTAACTCATAGGGAAGGTACTAATTTACTTCATATCGGAAGTAAAAATACTTTCTGGTGTAGGCATCTTGTGATCCAGAAAACCTTTTTCCAAGCCTTCCCAAACTTCCTTGCTGCGCCTGCCTTTTGTTTGCTACTCCCGAGCCGATGCCGCTGGCCTGAGAGCTTCACCTCCTGTCCTAATCCTCGGGCTGTTCTCTATAACTAGGGTAGCCCCCTAAAAAAATATAATCTGGAAAAACTTTCCGCCCAGCTTATAGATGAAATAGTAGTGGTGGTTCCTGTTTACCGGGCTGAACATGTGCGCAATTTGGGACCTTCTAGCTTGCCTCGTATTCGTATTCACATCTTCCTAGTCTTCTTGTTCACTTCTAATAACTAATCCCCAACAAAATGACGGTTTAAGCAAGGGGCCCCTCCTATTACATTTCTAGCCCTAAGGGTAGATTCCTTTGGCATTATTACCGCATCAACGTCCATCCTATCATACTCCAAGTACGTGCGTTGGGGCGCTCATGGGGGTCCCGTGAGGTGTGATATTTTCTCCGGGTTCCGAGGCATAGGGGAGAATGAGCGGGGAAAGGGCAGCGGGGACGTGTTATTAGATAGGAGCGGAGGATTGATGGCAACCCCTGCACTCGCTCTTGTGATTCTTCATGTCTGCAGGATTAGTGTTATGCCGTCCTTGATCATTGAGTGTACTGGTCTTACGTTCAGAAATCGCTTTTTGCAAGGTGTACACAGCCACCACGGGGTGAGATCCAGCCTTCTTCCGAGTGGGCATCATACCGCATCTACTGATCAAACTGGCTAAGTTCATCCCAGGGTGTATTATCTCCGGCCTAGTTAGATGTGGTTCTGCTCAAGGATCCGGCGCGAACGATGGATTGTGATTGAGTGGTGCAAAAAACGAAAAATAATAGCCCACAAGAAACACCACCCGAGGTCGAACCCCACTAGATAACTAGAGAGGGATTAACACATCCCGGGACAGGGATAACGGTTTTAATCGGTAAGAACGGTATAGCATTTGATAGTTAAGACTCGGTTTATACATGCCGGCCTTCCTTGAGCGAAAGAAAAGCAGGCAGTAAGGCTGAGAGTGATATAAAAAACTTCGCTGCCCCACCTCTCCCAATCTGCCTTGAAGCTCTCTACTAGACTGCCTGATCAAAGACTCAGTCCGGATGCCATTTACACTGCTCAAAGTTCACTCTCGGGCCTTCGCCACGGCAAGTCTACTTTTCTTATGCTTTTTACTCTCAGTATCTGTTGTGTCCTCCAAGCCAGTTGATTCGGTCGGACTTCTAACTCTGACGTCTTCCCCTAACACCACCAAAACCTTACCCAGTGCGCCTGCGCCAACCGATGCACCAGATCCGCCTTCCGATGTTCGACTACTATCAAAAGTAAAGGATGCGGCCTCCAGAATTAACGGTATGAGCGTGTTCTGGATTATAGCGCCTTTGTCTGTGGCATGCATGACCCATCCTATCGGTTCTGCCTGCGGTCTTGAACCGGCCTACCGCCACCGAATTCGAATTGGCCCATTCATATCGCTATTCGATACTTTACACCTTCTATACGAGATACACGGCTCCCACAAAAGTACGGGAGATGCCAATAACGCAGCCCATAGAATTCGAAACGCTATACGGAAGGTAGTAGAAGTACGACTGAAGCGTATCCGAACGGAAACGCACGGTGCCGCCCAAAACCCACAGGGTAATCTTCAGGCCACGACTTTACTCTGTCGCTTTGAGAGCTGTCTCTTTAACACCCCGATCAGGCACTTGGTCTCCCTGGTGTTGATAGTGCAGTATACGAAGATTTGTGGCTTCCATGGAATTCCCATGTCTTTCTCGCTGGCGACTGGATATTTTGCGTCATGGATCATCATGGAAATAATACTACTAGTTGGGGATGGCCACGCTAAGACGGAGCCCCCCCAGGCGGCTCTCCCAAAGCCAGATTCGAGCCCGGGACCAATTATCCCGAAACTAGTTGGGAGAGCAGTATTTTTACTCCAAAGCATCACGGTCCTCATTGGGGTATTCATGTTGCTCTGGAAAGCACAGAGCGACTTCAAGTTTGCTCCAAAGCACGGAGAAACGGCCCCAAGCTTCGACCTCCGCTTCGCCTCGTTTTTACTCATTTCATCGTCGCTCATGTACTACGCAGACAGCATGCCCCTCTTCGTCGGAATCTCCCTCATGACAGGACTCTGTGTTTCAAAACGCGAAAATCCGAGAGAATTCTCCGATCGTATCGGCCTGTTCATGGCCGCTGCCTACGTCTTCATCATCACCACCGTGTTCTACAGCAATTGGGTTTTCGGCGCAGGTCATCTTCCATTCGTTGGCTACATCACTTATTTCTATGTATCTCGCTCGTTCCGGTGTGGGAAGGAAAGAAAGGAGAAGGGGAAGGGATGTTTGGTTATGACACAGCTCGAACCCGTGCTGATTTTTGGTGGTTCGGCTTTAACATATGCCGGGGGATTGCTTTTCTTTTATGCTTTTGATTTCGATCCCGAGGGTACGTGGAGGGCTGGTTGGACGGATATTTTCCCTTGACGAATGAAGAGATGTAGAATAGACGGGGTGTGATCAAAAGCTAGGATGCAAGCAAGAGAAGAGACTGTATACCAGAACGCTTCTCTATGATGCTATCCCCAGCGTGGGCCACCCCATATCTCTCCGGTTTGCGGTGCGAAAGATGCATGGGGATATCGCCAGGGGACACGAACCGGAGAGCCCCAAAGATTTTATTTTCTTTCTTTCACCACAAATACAGGAGATAGATCAGTTATCGGGAATAAATTCTAACTTCCGAGATTTACAGGAAAATTTAATCCACCTGTTGAAGATTAACCCGCTACCAATAACATAAATGCCGACACGGCCCGCCCTATGGGACTTGGTCGCCTCCAGTTGACACAAGTGTTTAAGATTATCGCTGACACAATGACAAACCGTCCTACCCGACCCGACCAATATTCTACGAGTGGAGACGCGGGGCAAATGCGCCGGCTTCATTGCCCGAATCAGATACACTACCATCGCTTCCACGATCACGCTCTGTCACTCGAACCATTTATGCATACTCCACACCAATACTTCCAATAGGTTTGTGGCGACGGCCAACGATGCGCAAACTGAAAGCCAGGCACAATACACGAGTATAAAGGAAACAAAGAAATCGTAACGGGAGCGGTTACCATTGCGAGGAATGTGGTAGGCTGTAAAGGTCAATTTCAGAGTTGTTTTGGTATCTCTAGGGATATTGTATGTAATCATTTCTATCCGGTAATGTGGCTTCAGCGCAATTTTCTACAAAATATATTCATCCCACCCACGTTCGGAGGGAACCCGGTACCCTAAAACAACACACGATTCAATACCCTCCCCCCCCTCCCCCGGATATTTCTGCCAACAGATATCTCCACTAATAGCACACATACCCCTGCGCCTCGATATCCAACCCGTGAGACCTAGTACCCTTAAGGTGCTCAGGGGTATTGTCCTCGTCGGCCTCGCTGGCAGCACTTATACCGGCGGACTCGCTCACTGCCGCCGAGGCTACGGATACCGCCGCCGCCGCCGCCCCCGGCTTACATCTCCTCTTCTGCCCAAGATGCTTCCCGATCTCCACCGCCTGTCCGGTGAGCCTTATCTGGATAGCGTCTGCGAGCTGACTGCCCCAGTTGATCTTGTTACCCTTGGTATCCTTGATATCTGAAACGTTGTACCCGTACGATTCCGGAACTTCGAAGACCGCGCGGACCCAGTGCGCTGGACGGCCGCGGGTAGGATCCGCCGGAGTGCCGCGGGTGAATCTCCAGAACTTTTGGACGTCTTCCTCGTCCGGCGCCACGAATTGACTACCGTCGAAGGACTCCAGGTACAGACCTACCGGGTCCGCCAAGGTTAAAAGGGGCCCTTTCCAGGCGAGGTCGTTCACGTTTCCCCCGATCTGTGGAAATGTTAGCTTAAGCGCGGGGGGATATGAATTTGGTGAGGGTTACGGCTGGGTCGGAATTGCGGTAGATACCGCCGTACTGACTGCACCTAATCAAGCGATCGTAATCGTGAATGGGGTTGCCCGCAGAGTCGACACGGAGAACGGTCGCGTCTGCCCCGAGTTGGATTTCGGCTCCTAGTGTGTTTGCGCTCTGGATTAAGTGCATTATTGAGCCTGTGGTTGTGCTATTGTTCCATTTGTTCAGGCGGTTGTAGCGGGTCTTGTTGGTATAGAGGTCCTCTCTCTTGATCTGGCTGGCGTATTCCGGGTTGTTGTCCTTGTACAGCTGTAGCAGGGTGTCTGGTTGGAGGGTTGCCAGTGCTTCCCAGTACTGACCCACTCTTTCAATTCCTATATCGCCCGGGATTGTGGGAAGGGGGAGGGGATACATACCTCTGGACCCTCACAAGTAAACACAACCCTAGTAATCTGCCCCTTCGAATTCCGGCGAACAGACCACTCGCAGTACTCGTCTTGGTTCTCCCTGGTGGAGTCCGCCACCTTCCATCTTTCTTTTTCGGGGGTGTCGTGCTTTACTGTGTTTGGGAATGCCGTCCAGGTGATATTCTTCTTGACTATATCTCCCTCCGTGGCCCGGGTGGTGGGGTTATAGAATTGGGTAACCTCCGGGGTCGAGGCGCTTCCGTCCATCCATCTGCTGATGTAGTCTTTTGACCATTTGACCGCATTCTCCTTGGTGAAGTCGGTGAGGTAGGCTGGCGGACTGAAGGACTCGAGGGTAGTCATAGTTGCTACTTTCTAGCCTCCTTTTGATAGCGGGGATAAGAGTGAAGTGTATATTTGTATGGGGGGGGCTCTATGAAGAAGTACTTGAGCTTGTGTCTTGGGTAAGATAAGGAGGAACAAGTGTGGAATCTTGGGGTTTATATATCACGAACAGAGCATCTATAGAGAGCTTTAATATCCGCCAAATTGAGCCGGAGGTTCCCTACGGCAGTCATGCTTACTTACCTCCCGGCAAACTCCCCACCAGTCCGAACCGTCGCTTCGGATCCAATCGTGCACATATCGTTAGCGCATTTACGACATCGAAGTCTTCAGCTCGCCTCAGCCCACAAGCCCCTAACCATCGTGACGAAAACTTTGTATCACGATCACCAAGATCTACGAGGGATTTTTCTTTTTTTCTCCTCTCCGTCCGCCATTGAGTCGACGAGCCAAGCATCAAGCCCGCTCCCTTTCGCAGGGATGTCGACAGCAGCAATGGATCGCCCAGTTAGAATCCAAATCCCGGAATCCCAGATGGTAAAAGCGTGCGATTACCGCGGACAAAACCATCCAGAAAAATCCTAGAGTGTGGGGCGTGGGCGCATCCTCGAGACGGCCCGGCAATACTCGAGTAGTGGTTGGTGCGGTATCGACAGTGGTGTCCAAGCTATGCCGAAAATGATAGTAGCGAATCGGGATGTCCGAGAGCTGTAGGTCATACGACATGGTACTTTAGTTGATCTACTCGGGTAACAGACACAGCCGCCGTGGGATGTCTAAACTGTTGGGGTACCGCATCGGTCTCAGTCCCTTTCGCTTTTCCCTCTGCTTGTCCCGGGCAATAAGCTATGGTTCAAGCACTCCAAAACCTGTACCAGACCTGTCAATTTCAAATCCTTAAGGGTTTGTAGGGGTGAGAGCAAATTATAAAAAAAAACCTGTTTCCGAAAAAGGAGATGAAGGAGAATAATAAACAGGTTTTTTTTTCTCATATGCACTTACCCCCATAAAGCCTTAAGGATTTGAAATTGACATGTCTGGTACATGTTTTGGAGTGCTTGAACCATAAGTGCCTGGAAATAACAGTCATGAATTTGTATGGGTGCTCGGATACGCACGGATTTCTTGCCATAACTTATATTCTAAATTACTGACCCCTGTTCTCGGGTGCCTATTGTCCGGTACAAGTACTAGTACTAGTCCTACGGCACCACCAGCAACTACTCGTACGCTTGTAGCTACCGACTCTACTCGCCCTTTTGGGGAAAACTTACGTGATCGGAGGTCCATAGAATTCGGCCAGGATATGCAGAGCCCTAATGAGCTCATACAGTCCTTTTTTTTTTTGTCAGATTCGCTATACACAATCCTCCAATCGATCATAATGGTAATGGATCTTCGGGAGGACCCAATTAGTCTGGATACTCAATGGAATCATTCGCTGAGGACCCGTGCGTACGAGTGCCCCACTATTCGACTATCAACAGAAAACTAGTATCGGTAGGCTACGATGCCGCACCACAACCACCCCGCTCCACCATGAGCAATTCCTTACGCTACTTGCAGAATCACGCACTAAAAAAGAGATTTGCAGGACGGGAAACCAGCTGAACCTCCAAAAGATCAGCAAAGAGAGAGAGAGCCCATAAGACCATCACCCCCTCCACCTCCAAAACAATCCGTAACGAGCGGTAGACGCTATGACGAAAATAAATATACTGCTCAAGCCAGCTACTCCGCAGACACATGTAAGTAAGAAGTACGGCAGAGCAAAGCCGCAGCAGCTCGAGTTAAAGTCCGATGTTCAATTATAATATGCTTGGGTTGCAACCATGCCTTGGCGTTGCCATGTGGCCGTTTCTGTTTCTAGACTGTATTTAATAAGGTTACGGAACCGGTTGCTTTTCTCGCCTCGCGAATCTTGAACAGGTGGTGGAGGAATGCTTATTTTAGTTAATGGTTTGTGCATGCGGTATTGTATTATACGATAAGGGTGTGTCAGGGGAGCTTCAGCCCTGCACGAATGTACGAATGTTTAGACAGGGCTACTAGTAGCGCAAGGGAAGACGAACTCAGGTGGTTACTTGCGAGGTGTGCCCTAGTGCGGGATCCCGGCTTCCGGTTCGCCAATGCGTGTTTAGCGCTAGAAAGGCATTTTCAAACAGTCCTGGGGGCCATTGACTGGAGGATATTGTATCCATCTTTTTTCCAGTTGCTTACCTCGGATTAACGCCAATGCTTTGCAGAACCTTCAATCACAGTGGCCAGGTCAATCGCTATGAAATTCTACGGATCCCAGAGATTGAATTGAATTCACTCTCCCAGCCCCACCACCCCACCCCCTTCTCTCTCCTCTTGACCACGGGTAGAGTTCAGCTGACAGGGAGTTTCGATCGCAGATCAAACTCGAATACATGAATATAAGGTCTAAAGTAGGGAACAAGCACTTGCCGGTAAGCAGCCTGCGCGATAAAAGTCACCTCTCCGCTGTAGATACGGTCCCTCGTATGGCCCTTAATCACAATCAGCTGAAAAGTGCTATTCCAAACGATATAAACAAGCTATCTCCAAAAGTGCTGCATAAAAGTTCTATGAAAGGGTAACCAGGGCCCAATAAGCCAGCGCTCTCTCACAATAAGTTTCCTGGAGTAGAGCCCCCGCTGCAGCTTTTCCACCCGTATCTGCACTCTCCCCTTGCCCCGCTTGCCAGTGTCCTTGAGGGTGTCCGATTTGGTACCGCGAACCCCGTAACACCAGGCTGAAGTGAACTAACAATCGGAGACACCCCCGACGTATTCCCCGGAACGAACCTTCCTGAGGATTCTCCCCTTTAGGCACGAGGTTCCATGTTGCATACTTCTCCCCGCCATCATATTATCGAGGCTTTTGCCACTTGGGTTCCTGCCTGTCTGTCGGCACAACTAGCCTATAATCTATACAAATGCGATGCGATGCACTAGAGAAGGAAATGATTAGGACAACATAAAAGTGGATCCAATGTAGGTGCTGGAAGGGCCCTTCCTGGCACAGGTACACGGAACAACTTAAATCCTCCGGAAGTGGGGTACCTATATTATTTCCTTCCCGCCGAACACCCAACTTTCCGATCTGACGCACGGTAGTATCCAAGGGCGGTAGCTACGCTTCTCTAATAGGTGAGGTTTCCGCTTCTAAAGCTGGAGTTCCGTCCTAGTACGTATCGCCCCTCAATCCTACGCTGACGTAAAGGGGGGGGAGGCGGGGGAATGGAAATGAGCGGGAAAGAATCTTCAGGGCATGGTGTTCGATGGAACCGTGCTTGCGTGACACCGATCGTACGGCACGACCCACAAGGCCAAGGAGTATGGCACTGCACAGTACTGTACTAGTACAGTTCAGTCCAGTACAAGTGCCGTTACTAGAATAATTGAGCCTCACTCCAAGACGTCGACAATTCCCCTCTTTGGATAAAGAGGGGAACCACCCCGAGAAACCCAACTTTCAGCCCTCCACTGACACAAATAAAAATAAAAACTAATATATCAGCCCTGACCAGGGCGTCCTAGAGTGAGGTCCAATTATTCCAGCCCTTCCGGTACTCGTACAACATACCGTACTCGTACGAGTACAAGTGGCAGCCTCCCCCAACCGACCCCAACAATAAACGAGTGCAGATCCAACCAAACGATTGGCCCAAGTGCTGCCATACCTCCCTCCGCAGCTACCAATTGAGCGCTTTTATTTTCAAACCTGATTTATTCCATGGGAGACCCTCCCCATCTGATCTAAGCTTAACCAGAGCCTATCATACAGTCACATCTCGCTGTCCCGGATCCCGATAATCCGGATACTTCGCTGTCCCGTATGAATCTCTATAAACTCTGATTTTTTTTCCACGAAGGCCTAAGTTAACCCGTTGTCCCGGATCCCTCGCTGTGCCGGACAGATTCTTCGGATTTTGGCCATCCGGGATGGCGAGGTGCGGCTGTACTTACACTGTTATTGGACAATTGCCTCGCAGATTCCCCCTGCCTCGATCTTCAATAAACTTTCGTCTCTGCACCGAGCTCACCACAGCATACATGCTCACGTACTCTTATTGTCGAAGCATTTTTTAAAAAAAGAAGTGTTATTATATACCAATCAGATCCAAGGAAAAAACACCAACCTTTCGCAGTATGCAATAGTAGCCCTTTTTTGGAAACGGTTCAAGATTACGAGTGGTTATGTTACACGGAGGCTGAAAGACTCTTTTTTCACAATGCTTTGAGTGACCGAGTGATTGATTTTGATTTTTTTTTTTCCCTTTTTTTTCTCTGCGCTGCACCGTTTCGGCTGACTGTATGGTGCTTGGGCAGCTCGGCTGAGTTTGGGAGATGTTATACGAGTTAGCCCACATGGCGCACTCCTGCAGAGCGTATCCGCCGTCCCGATGCAGCCGCCTTAGTAGATCTGGAGAAAAATTGGTGGGGCATCAACACCTTTCCGTGGATTGACAAAATAATTGGGAGTGGATAATCACGCGGTCACCACAACCTATTCGGGATTCCGAGGGCTAGAGCTACAAGAGAAGCGATGCGTTATGATCTACTGAACAACTATCCACTTTTATGCGAATGGCACTCACTACTGCAATTCTGTGTCCTGCCGGGGCGGTGTATACGGAGAGGTTTGGCACTAGTTCTTATATACCCAATTATAACAACTTCACCCTTGGTTTACGATAAACCAATGATTACATTTATCTAATGGGCATTTCCCGCCCCGTAATCCCTATCTCCAGGGCTCTCTTCGTCCGCCTTTCCCCCACCCTATACCAATACCTCAATCCATCATGCCATCCCCACTATACGCTCTAGTCGAGGGCCGCGACCTTACCCCCAGGCGCATCGACGACCCCGTGGCAGCTGGCCTCACAGATTGGTTCGGAAAGTACCTTGCTGAGCACGAAAAAGCCCAGTACCCTATCACCCTCAGAAGTCTCCTTACCGACACTATTCCTCACAAGACTTGGGTTCCGTTCGCCATCGGCGATGGAACCTACCTCAATTATAAGCCCGAGAATGCACACATCCCTCGAGATTTGAGATTTGTGGTTGTGGCTACACCAACGAGTCCGTCCACCACTAACCCACGGGGGTGGCCTGCGGATGCTATCGTGGCGGACGTTAACCATGTTCAGCCGGAGGCCTTTAAGAAAAATATGCCGACGTTGTTCGTAGTTGGGAGTCCTGCGTTCGACAGTGAGGAGGCCTTCCTCCAGATAGCAAGTTGGGAGCCGACCTCCGGGAGCTTGAAATTTTATCAGGTTTAAATCCTTTTCGCCACCCCCCCTTGTTAATTACTCAACCCACGCTAAAACCGCCGTGCTTGCGTACAGCGCGATGTGAAATTTTCCAAACAGTCTCCGGAATACCCCAGCTGGTTATACCTAGGCTCCTCTAGTGATGCGTTCGAGCCAGACACACGAGGAAAGGGGCCATTCGACGGACATGTCAATGGGACCCTTGTCATGAAGGAGCTCGCCTTCCCATGGGTCCATTGGCATAGCATGAAGTTCAATATCTCCCAGACATTCCCACCAGATTCACCTCTCCGTACCGAACCATTACTCCACCCTTCGGATAATCTCAACAGCTTTGACTTTCTTGCCGGAGCAGAACGTTTGGAGGTAATTGTTAAGAAGGCAGCAGACAAATGGTAATTTCCTCGCAATGGAAAATCTAAAGCTTATTTTAACGTAGAATTTCTCACAGGTTTACTGCACGGATGCGGAAGGACTTTGGTCCTATCAATACGCCTGAACCAACAATCACCCATGTCCGGGACTGGATCCAGCACATCCTCGATACCACCACTATAAATATTAGCGCAGCAGGTGTCAATTCAGAGGTAGTCATTGCAGACGAAGGTGACTTCTGGACACCAACGGGGATGTTCTATGATTCCCAGGCCCTGGAGGATGTCGTTAAATCTCTTGGCACGACTGGTTTTGAGGTATGTTGCACTGCTCCCCTTTGGTGCGTCAGTAGCTTGGGAAAAGCGCGCTGATATTACCACGAGCAGATACCCAAATTGGGCCCCGTTTCGTCTAAATTCTATAACGCTACTATTCGCAGTAGTAACTTCGCGCTAAAGACGCTCGCTAGTTGGACGCCGGAGGTCGTGGCGTTTGATCACGAAGGGCAGGTACGTAATACAGGTGCTGCACATCCATGTCTACATGACTAGTAAAGCTTACGATTATTGCAGTCTCCATGGACGATTTTAGTTCCAAGCATAGAAGATTACCAGGGCTATATTAGTATCAGGGATTCGGGCTTATTGAATCATAAAACACTGGCTTCACTATTGATGGTAGACTTTTAGTAAGTCATTCTCCGTCACTCGAGATTCCCAACACTAACATAATATTGTGAAATAGCAACCCGGTCTATTCCTGGCGTAAGCATCAGTTGATGCGACATATTCCCTCGACAACGAAGCGCGTTGATGATGGCTATACTCTCAGCGAGGACCTACGCCTAGCAATCAGCCTAACACAGGAAGCACAAATCCCAGGAACCCCAGAACACGAGTTCATGCAAAACATCAGTCTCCCAGACGATAAATACGACAACATCTTCGCGCAGCGAGTGATCGAATACATAAACAAGATCAAAGAAAAGATCGCTACCCAGGCAGGTGTAGACCAGTACATGTTGCTCTCAGAGTCCCGCCGTAGGATATTCAGACCGCACCCGCAAAGCACTGGTGGAGAGACCAACCCTCTCTCCGAGTTTCCAATGACGCTGCCGTACGCTACTGGCTTACCGCCAAACCTCCCGTTCCAGGAAATGACTGAGCAAGGTGAAGTCGTCGTCATGCATGAGAAAGGCCAATCACTATACAATAGCAAGATCCTCCAGAGACACGAAGATAGGCTGCAGAGATTCGCGAACGTTCAGAGCCCGTGCGGTGCTTTCAGAACTTCCATGTGCCCGTTCGCAGGATATCACATGCCGATTCTCAACGGTATCAAGGATAACGAACCGGGGACCTCCGAATTATGGGAGGATCCCAATAATCCCATTGGCGCCCCGGGAAATGCCAAATGGGCTGGTGCAGAGCCGCTTGAAGGGCTCGTTGCTTACTCAGGCGGATATAGCGACTCTACCACGGTTACTCCGGAGGCCAAGATCGCGGAGCTTCAGAAGTTGGCTACGAGAGTCGAGGGACCTGAAGCTGGGAAGCCGACATGGGACGATCATATCGCTGGGCTGTTCACCAAACCTTTCTGGATCCCCGAGGGTGCGAAACGGGATAAAGCCACTGCACGTTGGATCCGGGCTATGAAAGAGGGGTACACGATTGATCTCGAGAGTTATGAATCTGTGAAGCAGTGGGCTGTTACTACCTACTATCACCTCCGCGGCAGGACCATGCCTCTTCCGGGAGAGCTTGGAGAGCAAGAGTACTTCCCTAAAGAGGCCTGCGAGTCGATCCGCTTGTGGATCAACCAGGGTATGCGGAAGACCACAAACGACGAGGTTGAGCTCAGGGAGGAAGAAATTGAAGATATCGATGAACCGGAATGGGAGATCCCGAAGGTCCGGAGGGATATACTTGAACTCACTCAGGATGAGTTGGATTACTATCGAATGCAGCTTGATGATGTCCTCCGTGCCGGCGACCCGGACCGTAGCTCTCCGTGGCAGAAACTGGGAAGTATCCACACGGAATGGTGCCTCCATTACCAAGAAGCCTTCTTACCCTGGCATAGGGCACATCTCCTGTTTGTCTTCCCCCATCCCACATGAATTGAATGAAAAGGGTTATATTAACAGATGTACAGATACATGGAAAGCTTGATAGGCTGTCCCATCCCATACTGGAATTTCTTCGCAGAAGGTGCAGGCGAGTACGGCAACCCAAGCGCAGGCATCCCTCAAGCCTTCCTTGATGAGGAGTACAAGCACCCTCCCACAGGTCAAATGCGCCCGAATCCTCTAAAATATGCATGTGCAAACGGGGGCACGTCCAAAGCCGCCATGTCCCCGGGCTACCGTGGCGAGTTCAAAGACACAAAATCGAAGATATACGTCCAACGCGACCCGCTCCTGACCGGTGGGGGTACCGAGGAAGAGCGCCGCGAGAAGATAGCACAGGTCAAGCTCTACCAAGACCAGATCCAAAACGCCCTCACTTGGCCCATATTCTCGCAACCGCAAGGACTGTACGGCTACCCATGGGCAAACATCCAATCCTTCGACCCCCTACCCGGCGACGACCAATACCCCAACCGTGAAGACTTCGATGGGCTCTTCGAGCAACCGCATGATAACTTCCAGGGGTGGATCGGCCCGGATATGGCGGACAACTCGTACACCGCTTTCGACCCGATCTTCTGGTCGTACCACGCGAACGTGGACCGCATCTTCGAACAGTACATCCGCGATCATCAGGATGCTACCTTCTCTTCCATATTCCCCCTACAGCCATTCGCCGGTGCCCGTGCGGACAGAATAAGCCTTGGAGACCCGCGCAGGCACATATACACCACCATCGGGGACATGGTCAAGACCAGTTTGGCGCTGGGGTACTCCATCGCCCCACCCGTACACCAGGACTGCCCGCCGCGGCCGGTGACCTACGGGCGCGAGGGCCCTACCGCTGGCTCGAAAACTCCATACGTACTGTTCGAGGGCGTGAAGTGCACGACCGAAACATACACTATCGACGTGTATATCGACTGCCCGACGACCAGTCGGCAGGCGTCAGCTTCGAATAAGCATTATGTTGGAAGACTAACGCGCATAGGGATGGGTGCCAGCGCCAGTAAAGGCCGGTGCGTAAAGAAGGGGGTCACAAGAGTGCTGAACGCTGCTGGGGCAGCAGAGCGTTTAGCTATTAGGGATGATGCAGAACCGGTGCTTTCGCAGGTGGTTATTGATATCAAGACTGGTGAGGCAGTGGCGGAGGAGGTGTACAAGGAATGGGATGGGTTTGTCGGAAAGCTGGTTTGGGGGACGGCGATGCCGCAGGGGAAAGGTAGCGGGGTCGAGAAGCCGAGGGGGTAGTATCGTGTAGCGTGCACATCATAAGTAAATATCATAGCGCAGATTGGTACGATAATGGAGATGGAATTGTTCTCTAGCGTTTATCCATACGTGTGTTCTGCGTGAATCCCCCTGGAGGACTAGCCGGAAAGTATTAGGCCGAAAGTAACGAACTCCGCATCCTACCCGCACCCCATACCCTCCCGCGCCTCTCAACTTGAACTGACCAGACTGATTGTTGAAGTTATTGCCATTGATCTTTGAAATTGACCTCACCAAATCCCACCTCCTCCTCCTCGACCCGAAACCATCATTCACAGAAAATCACTCGTGGAACTCTCAAATATACCCAGAATCACAAACCTCGGATGGAAATCCCCAGTAAAATAGACTCAGACTAATCACTCCAGCCGACCCCCAATAGCCCCCTGTTACCTAAACACTTCCCCTCCTATCTATCGATCTACCGACACCCCACCGCTTATAGTACGGGCACAAGCAGCGTGGCTTAACCCCGCGCATCATCCCTCCATAGCCCCTTCGTTCCCTTCCTCACTCGAGCACTGTAAGCCAATAGCCACCATGACGTGTCCAACCCATCTCCGCAATAATGCCCTCCGCCCAAACAGCCATTCGTGTACCCCCTACTCCAGTCAGTTCGCGTTCATCAACGGAAGGTTGATGCAAAAAAAAAAAGTCAGGGTAGGGAAAGAAGGAGCCCCCAGTATCGCCGAAATGCTGTTTCAGTTTTAGGTGGGATGGGGTCTAGCCGATGGGATCGGCGGGATTGCAGATTTAACATCGAAAGCCATGCAATGCTTGATGTAGGGTATGCCCTTGTCCTTTGTTGTTGTTGTTGGATTACTCGGTACCTATGGGCGATATGGGTATAATATGATGCATATATTGTAACTCTTTAGGTTGGTGTGGGCGGGGAGGAGGGGATGAGGGGGTGGATACAAGTACAAGTACATTGTAGCAGGGTAAGCCTCCCGAGATTTTAGTGGTATCATGCCATACAGTACCTGCCGTAGGATATGTGGGTTTAGGGGTAGAGATTTCAGCCTGTACACTTTCTTGTATTCGAGTGGATGGATCTCCATGGGGATGATCTCCATGGAGAAGCTACCCGTATGGTAGAGGGGTAAAAAAGAGCGTGATGCAGTTCTCTGGCTTTATCTCGAATCGTATCATACCCGCCTTGCTTTCTCCAGGTTATTCCCTCAGTGTTGAAGAGGTTTTTCTTCCTCTCACGAATGCACCTTCGTGAGCACCTCCAGTGTACAGTACGGTATAGACCCATACAACGCTGTGTTGGACAAAAACCAAACGCACATGAAAAGTGATTATTATATATCATCGTTATAAAAATAAAATAAAAAGCTCCGTTACGAAGGTGCTATCGAGAGTGATACCGTCTGATTCGGTACCTCCCGACAAAATAATTATCAGGGTCCACCCCAAATCTTGCTTTTCGGTTTCCTCCTTGGCTCGACGCAGTTTTTCTTTTTCCCTTTTCCTTTTTCTTCCTCTTTTCCTTTTTCTCCCTTATCACGGGGAATGGATTGATAATGCTCCATTACAATACCCTTTCACACAAAAGATATTACATTACGGTAGCCCAGACCGTCACTTAGCCTGTACTTGTATCGTGGCTCCGGATACGATGGCCGTGCTCTATTCGTCGCGAGTTAGGCAAACCGCATCCGCAGTGCATGACCTGAACCTTAACCCCCCGGCTTAGGTACTCGCAGAGGGCAAGTGGTATGACATCCGAAAACACGAGGCTTGAGCTTTGTATGGAAATTCAGATACGCACTGATTTTCGATTCCACTTTTTTGCCATATATTTTGCAAATGCCCAGTATTCGTGCACGATACCCCTCACCCGCTACGAGGAGACTGGCGGAAGTTCTACAGTATACGTACACTGCTTACTCTACGTTAATTCATAGGGACCCCCCCGCCTGCTTTGCCTCTGGTCGATGAACGCGGGCGAGCGATTTTCACAAAAGCTCTGGGAAACGGTACACAGAAATTCGAACGCTCACCGTATCAGCTGTCAGAAACAAGATCCCTTTTTTTTTTTCGTCTCAATTCTTGCTGAGGGAAAGGGGAAGGAGGGGGGGGGTTAATGGGCGATGCTAGGGCGAGCTGAGATCCTACCGATATATATACGTCCCTACCGATTCGTGAAATTTACAACCCGTCCAAACCACCGCACCGCTTACGAGTAGTGACAGAAGTCTGGGGAGTCTCGTACCATGCTCTCCCAGCCCGGGCTGCCCAGCAAGCAAGCAGCTTTTAGCCCCTTCAAAACAGTTCAGCCCATCGATATCAAACATTATGTAATTCGCTGAGCGACAACGCTTTCCCATCATTCTCCTTCCCCACCCCCTTCTTCCTCCGCAAAAATAAATAAATAACAGTGTCTGGGACTCTGGGCCACCATGCCCATCACAGGCATACCATACCGTACACGCATATCCCACAAGCAAGTTGTTCCACTGCGGTTATCGTAAGCAACCCGTACTCCAAAAACTGGTCCGTCTTACCACCCTTGCAGTGCTTTCGTACAGTATGTATGGCCATGCCATGCCAATGCGGCTTCCACAACAGGCAAGAGGGAAACGAGAAAAAGAAAATGGGGGAGTGAGAAAAAGAAAAGTCCCAGGGACTTAAACCGCATTCGGAAAAATTCCTTATCTTTCGTGGTACCCGAGAAATAACGCCCTTTTTTTCCCAATTCTGTTCCCTTCTCCCCCTTCCGCTATCTACACGCCAGATAATTGATTCGTGTCCGGGGTTTTTGGCGGTTTGGTCCTGTTTTCGCTTTTTTTTTTCTTGCACACACGCTGCTTTTTTTAGGTTTAGGTGAAGTAACTGAGGTAGATTGGATGGATGAGGTTACGTATAAAGTATTCATCCCCCCACGTTTTGATTGACCTGTGTGGGGTTTGGCCAAAGAAAAAAATTTGCTTGATGGTGACGATGGTGGAGGAGCGCGGAGGAGGGGGAGCTGTTGGGGAGGGGGGGGGAGCTGCTGGAGGAGCTGCTGGAGGAGGAGAAGGGGGAGGGGGAGGGAGAGAGCTGATATGAGGTGAAAGCCTTACACTTGCTACTGTCATGTTTCGTTTCCCCATCTTCAGAACCGGATTCGGTTCTTTTCATAATTATCATGTGCTCCTTGGTAAATCCCTTTCTGCCCGCACGAGTACCTTAGCTACCGGTACTGTACATGTGCCCAAGTATGGTACGGGAAGGGCACTCGGTCCAGCAAGACCTCTTTCTCTTTGCGGGGAATCGTACTGCGCATCGTGTGCTTGTTACGGGCATCTCTACGCTATCTCTTTTTGAGGGAGGAGAAACTGTCGACCCCCTATTGCCCGTATAGGCTACAGTATAAAAGTAACCGGTTGCCTACCCCCAGTTGTACGGTAGGTTCCCACGGTAACAAGTACCAATTGGTTTACAGGTTGGTCCAACATGATCGGAGAGTAAATGAGGCTGCTTCACCCATCGTCCCCGGTTTCTTTCACACCGTGCTGTTACTCCAGCACTGTAATCGATTGCACGCCGCTGGTACTACTGTGCCCCCCCCCCCCTCGGTCCTAGATAGGACATTTCGACAAATTTCATTCTCTCCTCCCACCTCCCGATCTAACATCCTTACAGCACTCGTACAACCAGTTCGCATGGTAAAAAAATCACCCGGATGTAGCCCAGTCGATGGGAAATCTAGGGTGGCTCGCACCAGGAGGAGCAGCGTACGAGTACAACCGCATTCTCACCCTCCTCCTATATCGTATTGTACATATGGTACACAGCACTTTCTTTTTTTTCCCCACGGGGCGACCGAGTGTGAGCTTGGATCCACAAGACAAGAAGAAAGAAATAAAGGAAAAAAGTAACAAGAGCAATTACACACGTCTCACTGACATGAACCCGTCCATACCGTACTCCGCGAGTATCGCCTTCTCGATCCTCTCCCCTTCATAAAAACTCCCTTTCCCTTCCCTCCCGGTACTCTGACGCGCTTCCACCCGGAATCCCCAGACGATACAATAATCTTTACCAATTATTACCGTATCGACCCGGGAGAGCAGAGAAACCGTTCATCTGCATCTTATTGCCAATACTTCCCAGGCCTGAACCCCACAAGGCTTATCTCATCGCTCGCAGGAGAGCCCCGTTTCAAATTCCGCTGTCTTGGAAGCAACGAAGGAGGGAAAAGGAAAAGGAAAAGAAAAAAAGGTAAAAAAACTGAACCGGGGGTGTGTATTCTTTCCCGTAATCTACCGGTAATCTACGGTGGTTTTTTTCTACTCGTACCAATTGTTGGGGTGGGTAAGGGGACAGGGAAGGCTGTTTAAGGTGAATAGAGAGCGGAATGACTACGGAGTGCCACTGTATGGTAGTTTGGGGGGGGGGGGGGGAGGGAGCGATAAGGCAGGGCGAGGACGGGCATTTACCGCTACTGGGGGTTCAAGTTGGTTTTGGTTGGCGGAGGTGTTCTCTTTTTCTTCTTCTTCCTCTTGCACACCGTCCGTACCCTCGGTAGCTATTCTCTCTTCCCTCCCCTTATCTCTCAACACACTTGGGGAAGCTCACGATAGTTTTTTTGTGTTTCTTTTCTTTTCCTTTCTTTTCCTTTCCACTATTCTGGAATGGATTTTTGAGGATTTCCGGGACTGGATAAAAGAGAAGTGAGGGTTCACAAGCTTACCAATTTCTTATCTCTACATCAAGTTCCACGATGAAAGCGAGCGAGAACCCTCCGACTGCTCCCGCGACTAAAGGAGCTAGTAACGGAATAACTCCCAGCGCCAATGCCAACGGTGATGTTCCGACCGCACCGCCCACAACCCCTTCCACCGCCACTGCCAATAGTGGCAGCAACAGCAACAATTCCCACAACAATGTCAACTGTAATATTGACGGCAATGCCGTCGTGCCTTCGAACAATTCTATCGCGGGAAATAGTGGGATAAAGGCGAAGCCGGCAACATTGTCGGTGAACACTTCTGCAGCGAATGGGGACGGTGCAATGGCGCCGGCGCCGGCGAATGGGACTAAGGGACGGCGCGATAGGCCTTGTGATGCCTGTAGGAGACGGAAGAGCCGGTGCGTCATGAACGAGGGTGCCGAGATTTGCGTGCTTTGCCAGTTCCACAGCCAGGAGTGTACATTCGTGCAAAGTCCGCAGCCCCGGAAACGGAGACTTGCTTCGTCTAATATGAGCTCGGAGGATCAGGTTGTTACAAAGAAACGGTATGCAGCTTTTAATTCATTCATCTCTTGATTCCCTATTTTTCACTTCTCTTTCCATCCTATACAACATTCTACTGGAACACCTTAACCTTATTACCATCTATCGCGCGCTCCATATGCCTCGGCTAGTGCGGCACCCCACATTCTTGCTCCAATTGTTCCCGTCGTTTTTTTCCCCTCGGGGAGAGTAATGATATATTATATTCGCATTCCTTCTTCTTTTTTACCTTGGCGATTGATTATCTGTGAAGCTTACCGTTGGAACCTCCTCCCTTAAAGCAGGTCTACTGAACCAGAATCCCCCCAAGAAGTCGCTATCCGTGGAAACATACCAGTCGATGATTACGCAAACCTACGGGGGCCCTCCCTTCTTAAGACAACGCTGGGGCTGCAAGGCCACCGCCACTCCCAATTAATAGGTCCAACGAGCGAGTACGAGCCATGTCTGATAGACCTTTGCCCCTTTGACCAGAGGGACGAATACATGTTGTCCTCCGCCGGCGGGTCTTTTAGAAGAGCGTCTGACGAGATTACCTTCCTAATGTTTCCTGACCACCCAACACAGAATCACGGCGAGATCTTCGACGACCTGGATGCGATAGAGAGAATCGTGGCCCCGCACGGCCAATCGCTGATAAACCTCTACTTCAGAATCGTACACCCGTCCTTCCCGATCCTGCACAAAAAAGTTTTTCTGGAAAAGTACTCGCGAACGCATCGCGAGTTCTCACCACCGCTACTGGCGGCCGTATACATCCTCGCGCTGCACTGGTGGTCATACGATAGGGACTTGTCCCCGCAGAAAAAACCGGATGTGGCAGCGCTGGAGAAATTGGCGAGCAAGACCATCGCGGACGTGATGCACCGGCCGAAGCTGGCCGCCGTGCAGGCTGGTCTCTTGTTATTGCAGCGGCACTCGGATTTGAAGGGTGGGTCATGGGCGCTGACATGTCAGCTTGTTGCTGTGGGGCAGGAGCTGGGACTTCACTTGAACTGTGAGGGGTGGAAGATTCCGCCTTGGGAACGGGGGCTCAGGAAGCGGTTGGCATGGGGATTATTCATGCAGGATAAGTGGGGGGCGTTGACACATGGTCGGCCTTCGCACATAACTCGATCGAATTGGGCAGTGTCGGCGGTAACCGCCGAGGATTTCCCAGAGAACGCGGCCGACGAAGATGATGAGGAGGGGAGCTCGGAGGTGGAGAAGGGAAGGATGCTGTTCGAGCAGATGATCAACCTGAGCGGCATCATGGCGGACGTCTTGGAGACCTTTTTCACACTTGAGGCTCAGCAGAACCTTGCGGGGAGGGGGGGAATTAATCGCGTGCTCGAAAAAGCGAAACCTATACAGATCAGGCTCAAGGAATGGTTCTCAAAGTTGCCGGAATGCCTGAGAATGGATGCTACCAAGGTTAGAAAGCTATCTTCCAACGGTTAGACCCCCATCACGTCTGTTCGTTTGTTCCTCCACCCCCCCTGAGAAAAAAGAGAAAACGGATGGAAAATAAAATATAAAAAACAAAAATATCCTAACAGGCAATAACCAGGTTACCTGCACCTTGCATATTTTGCAACGGAAATAACCCTGCACAGGCAAATTTTGCGCTCATTGAGCCCCCCAACCAACACCGAATCCTACATCCACCACATTTGCCGATCCGCCGCCAAAACACGATTAATATCGGCAATGGACTTTGTGAACCGTTTGAAACCCGAACACCTGCAATCATTCTGGTATTTTGCCTCGAAAGTGAATTTCGCCCTTATTGGCACATTCGGGTCCCTTCTTTGGGCGACAAGCCCAAACACACAGGAGGCGGAATTCTACAAAGCAAGGCTAAGCGAATACCGCTGGACCCTCCGCGTTTCCTCCCGCGGGGCAGAATTCATGGAGTACGCCGTGGGCGTGTTAGACGCTTCAGCCGGATATCTGCAGCAGGAACAGTTCCGCAAACGTGGGTTGGGTAACGCCGCGCCGGGGTACACCTCGACCGTAGGAGCGGGTGAGAACTTCGGTTTGGGAATGGGCGTAGGCATAAACCCACCTTCATCATCGTCGGTACCACCACCACCACCGCCGCCGCCGCCACCGCTTCAGCTACCGCATCATGAACCAACTCTCCCCCCGCAATGGCGCGGGCCACACAATGAGCACGGCGGCCCCCTATCTCCCATAACGGGCTATGACGACAGTGAAGTCGATGACGACGGTGAAATGACAGATGGGTCGAGTACATCTTCACGGAGAAGGTTGAACAGCAGCTCCGCTTCTCCAAGTATGAAGGCCTACCAGGGTTTCCCGTTCGTGGATTCAGGCCCCAACGATCCCCTCGCGACCAATGCATCTACGCCTACGTCCACCACTAGCTCTGCGTTCGACTTCTTCATGATTCCGAACGGGATGCCGGGGGGGCGGGTGCAGGGTGCAGATTCTGCCGGTGCTACAAGGGGAGAGCTGGATTTTCTGGCGGGGGCCGCTGGATGGAGGAGTAGGCGGGAGGGGGACGATTGAGGAAGGGGGAAAAAACAGGCGCAGAAGTTGTATGACGGTTCTTTTTAACTTGTAGCAGTAGTTTTTTTTGTTTTCCACTCGTGATTGTCGGTTCTGTTGCCTTGGTGGGGAAGGACAAATGGGAAGAAAACAAAAGGGATGGGGAAATGGAAGGGTGCTTTGGTTAAGTAAGGGAGCAGCCGTGGAAAGGCCTTCCTACGAGTATTTCCGCGGAGGAGCCCGTTCCTTTACACACCGGTAGAGTTCCATACCACACTTTACACCACCTACCACCCACTTGCACTTTTCGCCATTTCATCATCGGATGGAGGCATTGCGGCCGACTTAGCACCATCGTGGCTCTATTATTCTTATTATCGCTGCCACCACAATCGCCCTTCCCCCCTCTCTCTCCCCAAGGGTTTCTACCATATTGGGTTCTTATTTTAGTAGTCACGGAAAAGCCTTGTTTTTTATTTCACCCTTGCTTCTTTCTTTTTTTCCTTCCTTCCTTCCTTCCTTCCTCCCTTTTCTTCCTTCCCCCTTTCCACTGTTTCTTTCATTCGTTCGGGGCTTCTCGGGTTCGGTTGGCTTTCTTTTTTTCCCTTTTTCTTCCCTTTTTTTTTTTTTTACTTTTTCCTGCCTTCTCTCATTTCCGTATTCGTAACTTTGGCAGTGTGGGTGGTCAAAGCATTCTGAATTCACTTGATATTTTCCACTACACCTTCTTTTCCTTGGTAAGCCCTACACCTCATGATACCCCACTGAAAGCGCGTTCCCGTTCCGCGTGTAACCGCCCCAACCAACGAGTGACTAACTGTAGTGAATAAGTTGTGAGTGGGGGCCGAAACCGCGCTCCGGGCTTCCTTACCCTTGCTCTCTGAAGTTCGCGAAGTTGTGTGTTTGGCTCCGGACTAGGTGTATGTATGTATGGAGTTCCGTTTTGCTTCTCGGTGGTTAATTGTTAACGAGGACCACTGCTATGTAACCTCACTCGTTTTTTTTCCCCTTCATTTCCCCGGGATTTCTGTTTCCTCTTGGCATTTTAGTTGAACTGTTTGAAGGAAAGCAGGGGCGGGTTGTTTATAGACCTTGAATACCGGTACGATATTTGGGCTTTCGGTGTTTTGCTGGGCCGCCAAGGGATGCCTGTTGACCACTGGAGATGGCTAGATACAAAAAGAGGGGGTGGAGGGTGACAAGCTTTTCTCTAGATGTTAGTTCAAAGATTTTGCGCCACTTGTGAATTATCTACGGTGCTCGCACAAGTATGATAGCGCTATCCTATTTCACCGGAGCTGATACCGATATCGGCCCGGGAGTCGGAGGGCCTCCCATTGGCATCCCAATTAAGGGTACTCGAGTACATACCAGGTACTGGTACTTGTAATTACCTGGTAATTCCGGCTAGGAATGCTGGTAGCGGCCCTTTTATATTACCGGGTTGGGAACCTGAGTAGCATGATGTACGATACACTAGCCCTTAACTTATCCAGAACAGGCGTTGCCATCAAAGGTTCCGGAGTTGTGTACGAGTATGATACTCGTAAGGTAGTCACCCCACCTTTAACCTATTTTGAAGTTGGCTACCGTACTATCCCTCCCTATCCCTTCTCGCGTTCTCAGGAGCCGAAGACAGCGCCATTGCCGATCATTGCGGGTGAATGACAAACAAGCATGAAATTCCGGAATTTACCGATATCGTGGTGAGTCCTCTTCAAAGAATGATCGGCTAGGTCACGGCCAAGATCTATATATATAGCCTTTCCCATTTATCGTCAAATCTTCCCATCAGATCCCCGTCTCTTGCACTGGAGTGTGTGGGAGATCTGGGATGGCGATTACCGTAGGGGGTATTGCGGCAAAGGGGTAAATTTGGGTTGAGTGGGTTGGTGTGTACTCGTACCAGTTGCATGTGATACTGATTGGCACCCGCATGAGGATGCGGTTTCACTGGTGTCCTGGGATGAACTTGTTCCCGCATTTGGTTTTCTTGCGAGCGAATTTTTTTTTCAACTTGAATTGGAATTTCGGTGAAAGTTATGCTTGACGGTGTCAGTAGACGTGAGGAGGTGGGGTAAGACGTGCTCCGTTTGCCTGTCCTGGCATGACACTGTACAAGTACCCGAGTTTCGAGGCTTTACGGCGTATTCAAGACACCATTACGGCTGCAATCGCCCGTCGTCGTCAGGTGATCTGGAATGTAACACCTCAATGTACGAGTAGTCTGGTTCGATATGACTTTATGTGTGGACTATGGATGTGGATTAGTAATGAGTTCTTCTTTCATGTGAGCGAATCCACAACTGCGATCCCCGGTATCATTGGAGCCCGTCCTGTTCAACCGGACACCCAAATTAGGGGAGCTCACCCTTCGCCGTTGTTTGTTTTTTTTGCAGTTTTGGTCAGGTTTGAGCTGAACTGGAGCCGCAAAAACGACAAAAACTGCCAAAACTGCCGTTGCCGGGAAGGAAGACGGTTTTTAGGTATGATACGGGAATCGTTTTTGAGACCGGTTTTCATGTTATGCACTAGTAGTTGGCTTGATACCGGTATGCTAGTTAGATATGATGTCCGCTTGTGTGCCGACTACGAGTACAGTACTGTGCAGGTACTGTATGAAACTCTTGTCGCCAGGGTGAAAGTGTTGGGTCTGTTAGTGTGCGATTCTTCTATTGACCGTCACAGTTAGCTTGAAATGGTTTTCTCCTTTGTTTTTTTCACTACGCTACAGTACTCGCCTGCATCTGTTTTGGTCTATCAATTGATTAGCCCACGCCCTTTTCTTCTCCCAAGTTCCTGCGAGAACCGCATGGCAAGCCGGAGTAGTCTACTCCTACAGGCTTCACACTCACGCTGGACCTCTAAAATGCTACCACAACTCTGGCTTCGCTTTTAAGCGTAGGTCGCCCATTGTTGTATTTGCCAAAATAAGTTAGGCTGCGTCCTGATTTTACCTAGTAGGTCCCGTTTTTCAGAGCCGCTATAGCAAAAGAGGATGAAAAAAACTATTACTACTATCATGCATGGTTTCAACACCACCGCTTTCCTTTATCAACTTGGAAAAGACTTGAACAGTTTACCTGTCAATTACCCTGTCAATCCTTCAACCGCCAAATGCTCACGTTCGGGATACGTCCCATCTTGATCTCGTTCACCAGGATAAAGGGGCTCTATCAAAACATGACCCTCTTTTAACCAGCACCTCCCCTCTCGCGACAGCCCTCCTAACTACCTGATCAGGAGGGTCGAAATTCTGCAGATTGTATTCACGATGGTACCCCTTGGCTTGTTCGGTAGCGTGGAAAACCGTTTTGCGGAAGTCACTCAGCAAGGGCTGTACTACTCTTGGGAGATAACTAGAAGATTTAACTATGCAGAGGGCCTTACTAGAGATATCGCCGGGGTGATCGAACAGGTGAAAGCTGTCAACCCTCAGCATGCATTGCTCTTCCTCGAGAGGATCGGCAATGCCATGAACGAGATTAGGCTATTGAAGAATAGGTGTATGGGCCGTACACTCACCTACTCCGAAGGTTATAAGAGAATGGGCGTGTTACTAAAGGAATTTCATGAGGTTGAAGTTGAGGTGGGCATGTATGTGGAAGAAGTAGAGAAGCTTAAGGTTGGGGTGCTGGAGGATACACCGGGGGAGGAAGAAGAAGGTTGGGTGGAGGTTGGAGAAGAACACTTTTCAGACGCACCCTTGGATAATCTGGCGCCACAGCATCCACCACCACCACCACCACCACATCATCCTCCCGCTGTTTTTCAACAGCCTGCCCGGGACCCTGCCAACTCTCTTGTTCGGAATTTCGGTGGGGTAATCCCTATGCGGGGTCTGTCGCGTTCTAATGCTATAGTCCGACGCAGACGTGTTCTTCCAGGGGCCCTCCCGGAGCAACGCCGTCGGTCGGCGTATACAAGTACTATTCTAAGCCCGAAGCCAAGTAGAACCAAGCTTTTGGGCGCTCACAATCCGCTTTTGGAGGATATTGATAGTTAAAGCCCTGGCCCATTTCCTAGGCGGTTTTCGGGAGACCAGGGCTAGCGTTTTGGGGCGTCTCTTAGCCGAGGGGGGTTTTCTTCTAGCCCGGCTCGGGTCGCCTGCTTTGGAATTATTGTAGGAGCGCTTATATAGTTTTTCTAGAGGCCAGGCTGGTGGATGAGAATTGCAGCTGTGGTCTGAATTTTGGGTAACTGTTGTCTGGAATGCACTACGCATACTGAGTGACTGGTAGATTTCATTCCTGGGTCAGGAATGAACTTGAAGCTGTGGGCTTGCATTCTCTGATTGGGAAATCAGTGGCTTGGGAATGAAAGGCTGGTATGGAATGATGGTTGAGCTGAACTTGGATGTTTGTATATATAGTCTTTGTTTTGTTGTTATTATTCGATCAACTGAACATAGGATTGAATACGACTCTATTTAAGGTCAGCTTCAGTTTTCAGTAACAATCTTGCTGAGTAGGTTCTCTGTCGAGTGACGCGCAGTGACCTATCCTCAGCGATTTGCTTAATATCACCCGCTTTTGTCAATACACCTGCTTGAGGAAGGGGGAGTTGATTCAAGAATGAAACAAATTTAGCCAGAGTACTAGTTAATACCTGCCGGAACAAGACCGTGTCCCATTATTATCATTTGGGGGGGGCAGGGGTATTGGGCAACAAGATAGAGAGTAACTTGGAGCCCGAGTGATGGGTGCGCATTCGCACAGTTTCATCCAGCCTATAAAATTTCCTGGTCAGGGCGGAAATTGAAAACGCCAGAAAGGAAAATCGAAAGATAGGAAGAGCATCCGCGATCGATTGACGGAGTATTGGAAACGAGGATTTGTATGATAGGTCGCTTGACTTTTCCCGCTCTCACTTTAGCCCGGCCCCATTCCTGCTTTGAAAGCTCCCACTTCCATCTCCTATAGTTTGGAGCATATGCATACGCATACCTTCAGGCTCGGTATGATTCACCCTATCAAATTGTTTCTTGCCTCCAGCCTCTATACTGTACATATACGTGGAAATGGGTTTAAATGTTGTGTCAGCAGCGTTCCAAGAACGGCTGTAATGGGGTCCGTAATCACCTGATCCTATTATCCCTCGCAGTTGGTGGCAAGTGGCGAGGTCCCCTACATTTCACTGAGGCTTTTGGTAGTGGTGCTGGTGCTAGTCTTGCGCTAGAACAGGTAGTGTTGCATCACGAATACGGTAGTGTATTCGATAGTGGGGCTCTACATATTCTAGGGACCTTAGCGTTTTGGTGGATAGGACACTATGACGAACTAACCACATCGGTGAAACCAAGTGAATCAAGGAAATGGAGGAATTTCTGTAGAGTATTTTGTACACCCTAGATATAGCTGCGGTCCCCGAGGAGTAGGGAATGCTTTATGTAATACCCTGGTTTTATGTTTAGAACAATTCTACTCAATAATTTTGGCGCGATAAGGGGAAATTCTGCCATATCACCACTCTGGGGGGGGGGGGGGTATAGCGGGGGGCCAGCGGTCAACCTGTTTTCTCTGGGGGTTTCTGGGTGGGGTGCTGGTGAACCTCCACTCCCATAAATTTAGCATTTTCCCATTGTTATTGCCCATTCTATTGCCCTACTAGCGGTGGGTATATTTACTCCGGTGACGCAAAGTATGATTTAACTATTTTGTATCTCGACAACACCACTTATACTCGGTACCTATATCATCCGATAAAAGTAGTGTTGGCACAAGTGAGGCCTGTCCAAGGAGGGCTTCCCGTAAGGATTTAGAAAAGTCTGGAACTTGGAACAAAAATCTGGATAATGAACCGTTCTAGTGGAAAAAAAGGCTTTCTAGATTTCTGAACCTTTTAAATCTGAACTAGGAGGGGGTGGGGAGGGGGTGGCCCAGACCTTGGAGAATTTGGAATTTGGAGATTGATTATCTAGATTTTAGCGTGAAGACCTGCCGAGACCCGTTTTAAATACCTTCTATTATACCGGTACCGTAGACTATGAGTAGATTTCTCCTGGGAGCTCTCCACTGTTTTCTTAGGGTGTGGTGACTTGAGGATCTACTAGAGCTTTTGCCCTCTTTTTGGCTCGGTTGCCCTTAATTCCAATCCAGCTTTTACTAAATGATACAGGCTTGTTGGTTCTACTCGTGCCGGTACATGCTAATCATAATAGCCCATGAACCTACTGCTTGCTTTTTATTATTGATGTTGATAAAGGACGGCCCTGATGCGAGGTGTTGCAATAAAGTATTGTACCGGTAGATTCGTTGGTAATTTGCGATAATTGTATGATAATATTAGAAAATGGGCTCATTGGGAGACCTTATTTCATCGTTTTGTGGGGCACGCAGCGCCGGTACAGTGG